CGTCAGTAAAGTTCAAAATTATTCAGATCAAAGTTGTTTGACGATTTATCTTGTCAAGAAGATTATTATGATTGATAAACTAAAACCTTCTTGTTGGTTCAACCTGCCATTATTATTTCTNCATCCATACTATTTTCTGCAATCTCTTTGTTTTACATAAAATTCTTGTGAAAACCATGATCATTTGCCTTGTGCTTTGATTTGTGGGTAACGGTGGGTAAGCATGTGAAGTTTCAATTTGACCAAATAAATTGTTTGGGATATAATATTTGGCAAAATAAAACATTTGCTATATAAACATTTGCCAAGTAAAATTTGACCAAATGATAATTTGACCAAATGAAATAGTTGCGAAAAGTACATTTGCTAAAAGTTCATTTGGGAAATGAAACTTTGGCGATAAGTTGTTTGCGAAGTGAAATTTGGCGAAAAGTAATTTGGCCAAACGGAAGGATACCGTATAATTGGATAATAATACCTTGTCATTATTTACATGCGAATCTTAGCAGAACATACGCTTGTAGTTTACTGTATGTTGATGGTATGTCGAACATTCAGAAAACCAGTAACATCTCCTAGATCAGTCTGGTTTTTAAAGACCTTAAAAAATTGTGTATCGTGTGCAATCTATCCTTATCGAAAATCTGTGATAAAACGTCTGCAAAAAATAGACTAAGTATTTGACACCACATTGACGTTCTTTTAAAAACTGTCAAAACGAGACTGCCATAGATTTTTTATGGCAATACAACCAAGTGACGTTGGTTGGCTGAAGTTTCCAGGTGATTTAAAATTAATTAAGTTTTTAAGACCAGAATGAAGTGTTTTTTTAAGTTGTGATTTCGAAATATAATGGTATCAAATAGTCTATCGTGCGCAATCTATCCTTATAGAAAATCTGAGATAAAACATCGGTAAGATATTGACTGTGTGTGAATAACTTCAAATCTATGGATCATGCGTGGTCTGAAATAAACCAAATAAATGTGATGTACTACCCTACCATTTACCAACTGTCAAACCACACATGTAATGCAATAAATGATTTGATTTGATTTGTTTTAAACGGATTTTATTTTGATAACTGCAGGGTTGACAATAATCCGCGCTATGAGCGCGAGCGGGCGCTGGGCGGACGCGGGCGACGAGCTGGTGGAGGGCTGGCAGCGCGCGGCGCTGTGCGCGGCCGGCGCCGCACAGTGGCTGGCGCTGCGCCTGCAGGCCGGCGCCGCCGCCGTCGTGGCCGCCGCCGCCGCGCTGGCCGTGCTGCAGCGAGCCGTGCACGCCGCGGACCCAGGTGGGTACTGTGGAGGCTGTGACGTCATATAGTTGCTGGTGGAGGGCTGGCAGCGCGCGGCGCTGTGCGCGGCCGGCGCCGCACAGTGGCTGGCGCTGCGCCTGCAGGCCGGCGCCGCCGCCGTCGTGGCCGCCGCCGCCGCGCTGGCCGTGCTGCAGCGAGCCGTGCACGCCGCGGACCCAGGTGGGTACTGTGGAGGCTGTGACGTCATATAGTTGCTGGTGGAGGGCTGGCAGCGCGCGGGTGAAGTTTCGACTTTTTTTAGTGGTTTCCCGGAAATTATTCGAACTTTTATAAACCATCCTTGAACTTCAACAACATTTTTAAAAAATTTAAAAATTGGCATTGGTCCAGGCGTTGTTGAGTTATGCGCTTACCAACACATTTTGCGATTCATTTTTATACTATACATTTGACAATTTGTAAGCACTATTTAATAGTCCATGCATATGAATGAATTTTGACTTTCACTTTATAAGCCGTGTCAAATGAAAAGGGTATTTCCATTCCACCAATTTGTTGACACTGTTCGGTGATATGATCAAATTACACAGTTAATCGCCAACAGATAACAATAATATCCTAACGATGTCTGTATCCGACAGTCAAATTATTTTTTTATTTTTTTTTAATATTAGAAATTTGCGGAGCGTTAGCAATCGAATCGATCAGATATGTAGATTGAGATAGCCTAAATTTACAAAAATGCCATATTCTATTGATGCGGTCTATAGGCGCAGTTTATGTACAGTCATGTAATCGACTATACCATGTCCTCAGGTCTGGTGGGTCTCGCCATATCGTACGCGCTGTCGATGACTTCGATGCTCAGCGGCGTCCTCAATGCCTTCACTGAGACTGAGAGGGAGATGATCGCCGTCGAGAGAGTCGGCGAATACATAACACAGGTATTTAATAAATCAAGTGGGGATTGTATAATGTTCTGAATGGTTTACTTAAGGATTAACTTATGTTTTTCAATGTCAGGTTGAGAGCGAAACGATAAGTGGGGATGCACCGCCGTACGGATGGCCGTCTCAAGGCGTGATAGAATTCAAAAATGTATCACTGAAATACAGGTAATTAATTCGCTACATTATTCGATTTTCGATCTCTATTACGTATATTTCAACTACATACTCCTCTAATAAGCAGACAATTAGATTTTTAATAACATTTACAGTAATCGTGACAGCGGCACACTCGCGCTAAACGACGTGTCGTTCTCGAGTTGGCCGAGCGAGAAGATGGCGGTGGTCGGGCGCACCGGGTCCGGCAAGAGCTCGATGCTGCAGGCCATATTGAGACTTGTGCCCTTGACGCAAGGGCAAATTGTGATTGACGGTGTTGACCTTTCCAAGCTTAATTTACAAGCTCTAAGGTATGTCTGAAAGATATTAACTAGGGTGGGTTGTTGCACCATCTTACATTAACTTTGAAAACCGTCAAAAATCTGCCAAACTCCATACAAAAAACACGTTAATGTCGCATTCACGGTTAAAGTTAGGTGGTGCAAATCAGCCTAAGTGGTCCCATGAGACAGATATCAATTGTTTTCTATAATTACTCGATTCGCTGGTATTTGAAGGGCTACTGTGATTAGCATTTTTGTTAAAAGCTGCTGATCAGGCACAGTAGAAATCCCAACTAATATTATAAATGCGAAAGTAACTCTGTCTGTCTGTCTGTCTGTCTGTTACGCTTTCCCGCTTAAACCTCGCAACCGATTTTGATGAAATTTGGCATAGAGATAGTTTGAGTCCCGGGAAAGAACATAGGATAGTTTTTATCCCGGTTTTTGAAACAGGGACGCGCGCGATAAAGTTTTTCTGTGACAGACAAAATTCCACGCGGGCGAAGCCGCGGGCGGAAAGCTAGTTCTGACTAATTTTAGATTTTGTAAGACTGACATCCAATCAGAATTGCCGAGGTGGATCTATTAATAACTCGTTCTTTCTGGGGGCTTAGTGTGAGTTTACATCAAACGTCAAAAATTACGTTAAATGTATGACGGATTGTACAGCGCCCTTAGAGGATACTTGAAGAACTTAAATCTTCATAGATTTTTTGAACCACTCGATATCGAATACGTTTGATGTAAACTCACAGTGTGTCTCACACTAAGCCCCCTGTTTTTGTTTTCCTTACTCGTTTCTCACCATCGTCGCGGTTCCCCAGGTCGCGCATCGGCGTGATCCCGCAGGAGCCGTTCATATTCGCGGGCAGCATTCGCGAGAATGTTGACCCGTTGCAAGTATATTTGGACTCGGAGCTGTGGCGTGCCTTAGAGCTGTGCGGAGCGCGCGCGTATGTGGTTGGGCGCGGAGGGCTGGACGCGCCCGCTGACGGGCTCGCACGCGGTCACGCGCAGCTGCTGTGTCTGGCGCGCGCGCTGCTGCAGCGAGCTAAGGTGAGCTTATTAAAGGACTGCTATTTAACTAAGGTTGTGTCCGTGGCTCTAAAATTAATCCGCTCCAAGTATATTTGGACTCGGAGCTGTGGCGTGCCTTAGAGCTATGCGCCCGCTGACGAGCTGGCACGCGGCCACGCGCAGCTGCTGTGCCTGGCGCGCGCGCTGCTGCAGCGAGCTAAGGTAAGACTGCCATTAAACTAGCTTTTGAACGTAGTCCCGCTGCAAGTGTACCTGGACTCGGAGCTGTGGCGTGCCTTAGAGCTGTGCGGAGCGCGCGCGGTGGGCTGAATGCGCCCGCTGACGGGCTGGCACGCGGCCACGCGCAGCTGCTGTGTCTGGCACGCGCGTTGCTGCAGCGAGCTAAGGTTAGACTGCCATTAAGCTAGCTTTTGAACGTAATCCCGCTGCAAGTGTACCTGGACTCGGAGCTGTGGCGCGCCCTGGAGCTGTGTCTGGCGCTGCTACAGCGGGCTAAGGTAAGCTTATTGAAGAACTGCTATTTAACTAGGGTTGTGCCCGCGGCTTTAGCATGAATCCGCTCCAAGTATATTTGGACTCGGAGCTGTGTCTGGCGGGCTAGGGTAGTAAGACTGCTATACATACATATAAGTTTTGAACGTGGTCCCGCTGTAAATATACTTAGACTCGGAGCCGTGCGGTGCTAGATCCGTAATAAAAGGATGCCGCATTCATCGATATATTTGAGCTACAATGCTCAATTAACTTGATATCAGTCTATAATCCCCACAGGGTTGTCATTGTAATATTTACGCGTGTATGCGATCTTTAAATGGACAATTTTCGCCGCAGATCGTGCTAGTGGACGAGGCAACAGCGAACCTTGACCAGGAGATGGAGCGCGTGATCCTGGACACGCTGCGCTGCTCCTTCGGCGGCTCCACCGTGGTGTACGTGGCGCACCGCGCGGCCGGCGTGCTGGAGTGCGCGCGCGCGCTCGTGCTGGGACAGGGCCGCGTGCTGGAGTTCGACGTGCCAGCGCGCGCGCTCGACGACCCCACCTCGCATCTGTACGCGCTACTCTACGCGCATTGATGTCCCTACCGGGAGAGCATACGGTGTACGTTACCTTTTATAACTTTACTTATCCCGCGTTTACACTATCGAGCACGCCATTCGCCTTATGACTCGCGAAACATTAGTATGGGAGACATGCGAGTGCCGTCGCTAACCGTCGCGAGCAATGTTTTATGACAAACTATTCGCCGAGACGAACGGGAGTCTCGAGTCGTGACTCGCACGAATGTTTAAATGCGGTAATAAATTATTTTATTTAAAAAAAATGTTAAGCTCCGCCCACATACACTGACGAGCGCTGACCGTCAACATAAAGCTGCGGATACACTAGATATATGAGCGCTACGTATACCAAATACGTTTCTTCTTTCTATTCTATCTATCTTACTCTATGACTCCTAAAATAAGTGACTCTGTAACGTTGTGCAGTATCCACTCCACTCTGAGAGCGAATGCTCTGCTGCCGTGCTGATTTCATACGTCATTGTATTTTGAACATTTTGCTGGGTTATTATTTCAGAAATCATTCATTTTTCTATTTCATAATTCGATTTCATGTGTCACTAGTGTATCCAAGGGCTTAAATAAAAGTAGCAAAAAAGGCTATGATCAAATTTCAAAATGTGGTGACAATCATGATGGTGTGCGTAACAAATTTGATTATTATGTGACGAATCAGTAGCGGCGTAAGGGGGGGGCGGTGGGGGCGGTCCGCCCCGGGTGCCAAGCATCAGGGGGTGACAAAAGTCGCGCAGATTAGTACTCACTGACGCATCTGCATGGCAAGGACGGTCGTGATGTCATGACAGGGGGGTGCCATTCTGGGGTGCCTTAGGCTATAATTAGACGAGGGGGGGGTGCCGCCCCGGGTGCCAACCTATGCTACGCCGCCACTGTGACGAATGGCTCGTAATTTATTAATTAGTATCTTATGAAAATAGAAATTACGCAATATAATTTAAACTGCGTTATTTTACTATAATTAGGCGATTTCATTTGGTCTTTCTAAGAAATCAGAATTATCAAACTTTACTATAGCAACTATTTAATGTGTTTTATTTTTGTGTGGCGTCTTAATGTGATGATATGAGAGAAAGACTGAATTTATCATGTGATATTGCGTAACTTGCCTATGTACACGACAAGTGAGGCTCAGTAATTTATAAACACGACAAAAATATTTACATCACAAAAATTATTCAATATGTTCGATAACTCTCTCTCTTATCATTTCTTATGTAGACAAAGCTAGATATTATCAATGATTAATAGATATTACATTTTATTCCATTTATTATGTTAGATGATCAATTCAAGAGGCTTAAAAAAGTAATATACTTGGTAAGTACCATTTGGTGCAATATTGTATTTTCGTGATTTAAGAATTCCTATATCATTATGTAATTCAACATTAAAGTTTTTATAAGTACTAATTTAGTGATAATACTATCGTGCACTTAGTTACAGTTCAATTCATACAAAAGTATTAGGATGATTGTATAATTATGATGGTTACTTCATGACTAAATTAAATTTTTTTGTCAATTACAAAAATAAAGTCGATATTAAACCTACAAATTTAAAACGAATGGTAGAAAACTTTGTAAGGAGTCTATTAGAATATTTTTAATTTATTGAGCATTTTTAGGCATGTGAGACAACGTGTGAATGTGACAATCTATAAAGATGAGAATGAACTATTCTAGTCCATTATCATTAGTAACGGATACTACGATACGAGTATGAAGTATTTTACTTGTAATTTATTTTAACTACCTAAGTTATTATAAATATACATTTCACATACATTCCGCAAACATCACGTGTATCAATCGTATTTGAATTGTTTAAGATTGAGACTGAGACCCAATGATAAATCATGCTTACATTATCATAATAGTGTTATTTTAAAATGATATGGTCTAATATTATCGACCGCTAGTTTGTAGAGAATACTTAAAAGATATTCTTATTAGAGACCTAAAAATATTTTATCTAGTTTCTCGTGTGCTTCCCCCTGTTTGATAGAAACGATTCATATTATTAGTGAATTTTTATGTTTCAATTAACAGAGTATTTTGCATTCATTTCAGTAAATAAAAGTTATGAAAATGTTATTGTAAAGTAAGTCTATTATTTTTAGTCATTACTACATTTGTGTGTATTAAATAAACAATGAGAAATGCCTATTTTTTTAATAACGTTAAAGTAATTTTGTAAGTAAACTTTGTGATATAGTTTTATTGTGACGCAATAAAAACTAAAATAAACAAAGAGGTGTTTTTTAATCTATTTACATATTTCTTTCCTCAGGCTTTTTATATGGATAGTCTATGTAGTCAAAAATATCCTCTTCAGACGAAATCGGTACCGGTTCTCCGGGAACTCCTAAAATGTTGAACAAAACAATTAATTGTAAATTTGTTGAAAAATTACAATGTAAAATTAGACAAAGATACATTACAGTGTAAAATTAGACAGAAAGATACATTAGGATTTAAAAAAATGTATAAACATGGCGAGTATTTTAGTCAAAGTACAACTCGCACCGGGAGTGAAAAATGGGTAAATAACCGCGAATTATCGATGGCAAGATGTAATAGAGATAGTATCCCAGGTAAAGAAACGTCATTTTGTTCTCAAAATAAACATCTCACCAGTTATTCCCACTGGCCGCAAGGAATACTCGTTGAGGGTGAATCCTTTATCGAGCGCGTGCGCGCGCATGGTCTTGTTAAACACATCACTGCCCGTGAAGTAAAGCACCGCGCAGTAATACTGTTCGTGTGGCACCAGCCTTATGTCAAGTCGACGCGCCGAGGACTCGCTTGATGCACGGCAGACACCCTAAAATGATATTACAGTCAAACACAGAAAAAGCAAAAATATTTTTGATAATTCTTAATTTTTTACCAACCATAAACTTAGTATCTCCTATAGATATAACGTCGGTAATGAGATCTTTCTTCAATTCATCTACAAGAGTTTTTAGAAATACTTCACTGTGTTTCTTCTTTCCTTCTGATACTTTTAGTGTGGGGTGCGTCACTAATGCGTCGATATCACCGCTCTCAGACTTACCGCGTCTGTAATTATAATTACGTATTTTCATAAGCTTGTACATCCTAATTAGAAGTTTATATGATAGTAGTATCATAACAATCACCTGTAACTCCCACAAATAGTAATTGTATAATTGCAATCTATTTTTGCAATTTTCTTTTGAAGCATAGTTTCTATCTCTTGAATTTCAGATCGTGGTATTTTCCGCTCAAAATCTTCAAAATACCTGTACAAATAAAAAATTAAACTGTTGCTCACTGCGTTTATAGACTTTTATTGAAAACTCATATTAGGTTTGTATCCTATGTGTTGGATACTACCTACTCTTTTACTTACTTTAAACCGATAAGTTGGTGATGGTTTAATTTATTTTCATTATTTTTCAGATCTTCAATTGTTTTAATGCCATTTCTAACAAGTTCAGCAGCTTTTACGGGTCCTATGCCGGACACTCGCGTCAGTAAACTTATTGCTTGGGCATCTGTGTCTTGATGTATATTTTCTAATTTCTTCAATTTTCCTGTCTGTATAAACTCGTCAATTTTTTTCGCAATTTTTTCTCCTATACCGTTCAGTTTTTTTGCTTCGTCTCCAGATTCGATTTTCTTGGGATGTGCGGCCAATACACTCGCTGCTTTTCTGTATGCATTATACTTGTGTATGTTTCGACTAACGTTTTTTTCATAATCTGCTAATTCCATCAAAAAGTCGCAAAAGTTTGCATTTTTATTATCGGCATCTGCTGGATTTTTACGCTTACTCATTGTTAGTTTTTTAGTATCTGAAAGTAAATTAAAGGTAAGTAAATAAAACTTCGTGACTGAATAAATTTTATTATTGTAGATCAAAATCGGTTCATCAATTCTTTGGAAATCGTAATAGGCCAGTAGAATTAAACACAAAAATGAATTAAATCGGAAATAATTTTAGTGCTTTAATGGCTTTATTAGCTGCCCATAAAGACTCCTAGGTTTTCGACTTCGACGGAGGTGTGCTTAAGTGGCGTAACGAGCGGGTAGCCTGCGGGTAACGAGCCATTGGACGTGGAGAGGGTCATTAATTATACACATATTTTCTACTTTGCCGAACATTTTCACGAAAACGATTTGTTCAAAACATAATATGAATTTGGTCTTATTTAATGCAAGATTAAATGCCCTTCAACGACGGTTGAAGGGCATTTACGTCAGGAAGACCACTTTTCGATAGGGTAAGTCCTTTACGAGGTATAACCGGAAAACCGAAAAAGATACATAGATTTCTTAGAGAAATTGTAACAATTATTAATTTAAATTTCATTATTATTATTAACTTATTTTAAGAAAGAAAGAAAAATATTTTTATTTAGTCCAAACATCCTTAGACTACTTACAACAATATAATTACTTAGGGGCCGTTCAAGTATTACGTAAGCAGATTTCTTACCATTTTTTACCCCCCCGCCCCCCTTGTCATCAAAAGTAAGCAATGCACTTACCCCCTCCCCCTATGCTTACGTAAACATTTTTAGTTATAACTAAATGTTTTTTATATTGTCATTTTTAAAATAGGAAAATTCATGAAAATATTAGGTTTAACTGATACACATAGAGTAGGGAATAGCGCACGGTAATTTTCCTAATCAGTTCTCAAAGCGAATGCCTACGCATATGTATTATTAGTCCACGAACAAAAAGCATAATGGCAAGTTATACTCCTCAGTCTTCTGTATAACCTGCCGCAGCGTATGGATGTGGTCTATGGTACTATAACCTTTCCGGAAACCGGCTTGTTCGGGAGGCTGGAAGTCATCGAATCTACGTGCGAGACGATTTGTGATGACTCTCGAAAACAGCTTGTAAACATTACTTAGCTACTTAAGTAGTCAAATTTGAACTAAAATGGCAGCCACTCCACATGTGCTATGCCCTAGGTCAAGAATAACGCTGGTATTGTGTGGCAGCCATATCAAGTGGGTAGACATTAATATTTAAGTTTTACACAAAACAAAAAATAAATAACACAGTGCTCTTCAAGTGTGTGTTGCGTATGTAATGTATGTATGTGTGTGTTAGTATTATTAATTCTACCTATTAATTTTCATTGTTAATTAATATTAAATCATTCTTTCTCTATTTATAATTTATGTATTATGTAAAATATATGTATAATGTTAACTCGATTGTATGTTGTGTGCACTTGTTATTGGAGCTGCAACAAGTTATTATTGTATTGCACTGTATAACCTGCTTTAAACGCTTTGTATGTTATGGTTGTATCCCTGTTTTGTGCACCTAATAAAATAAATAAATAAAAAATAAAATACGATTAAAGGACAATGACCAAAAGTGGTCCAAATGTCCACCACTAATGAGACCTATATTGGCTTATAGTCCATTAAATAGAGATTAACTTTCAGTATGGGACGAAAAAAAAATAAGCTGTCAGTAAAAAGTTATGACTGTTTGAAAAATTGTAGTAGTTTACGCGCTAATCTCAGGAACCACTGGTCCGATTTGAAAAATTATTTTTGTTATAGATAGCCCATTTATCAAGGATGGTTTTAGGATAAATAACATCACCCTACAACCAATAGGGGCGGAGCAGTAAAGACAAATGATGTAAAATTGGGAAATATTATTCAAACTATTTTCACGCGTACAAAGTCGTAGGCACAGCTAGTATAATATTTAATAAAATTCGTCTATAGCCCCGCACCACATGCGACATGACATAACATGCGTAGATTAGTCCAAAATGTGCAATGGATAGAATGATATCAAGAACATTTTTCGGATGAAAAGGTAAAAAAANCAACCAATGAAGCCCTTAAAGCAATAAAATCTTTTGTAGGAATTATTTCCGATTTAAAAGCTAATTCTACTGGACTATTGACTTAAAATTACGTTTACGTGACAATAGATAACAAAAGTAGCCATAGAAAATGTATTTTAACAAAAAAATAATATTTTAAATCAGTACGGCTAGCACGAAAATCTTTCGAGTTCAAATCGTTTGCGTCCTCAAATCGCCATCAAAAGATTTAGTACGAAAACTACAACAGCACCCTTGTGGACGTGTCGTAAAGTGAACTTAGTGTAAGAAATGGTTGCACGAAACTTATTTTGAGAATCAAAATTGTCACATTATCGTTTAATTCGAAGGTTGAGTATCGAATTTTATCGAATACGCAAACGATTCGAAGACGAAAGTTGTTCATGCTGGAGGTACAGATTTACTCTATCATTAAATTCGTCTTTAGAATAAAAAAAGAAAAAATATCGAAATTAAAAAAGTTTTATTATTTACAATAATATGGCGTTTCAAACAATAGTCTGGTGAAGTGAGTGTTTCTCTCCGAAAAGCGGGACCAAGCCTGTCCCGCGCGGGACATTTAAATTTGATTAAAAAATCGGGACGTCCCGCCAAAATCGGGACGTCTGGCAACGCTGATTGCACTGTATAACCTGCTTTAAACGCTTTGTATGTTATGGTTGTATCCCTGTTTTGTGCACCAAATAAAATAAATAAATAAAAAATAAAATACGCTTAAATTTATAAAAAATAATAGCAATAAGAAACAAATTATAATCTTTCAGCTTACTTCCAATTGTAAGCTTGTGTTAGAATGTTCATTAAGTTACTTTAACGGCAGATGGGAATCGAACTAGCGACTAGCGAAACAATGGACCGAAACCATCGGTTGGGCTATTGTTGTCGCCTCAAAAATGTTTTACCACACATTGAGTTATTTTGACTAGCAACACTGATACGTCAACTGGTAGGTACTCTAGAAACTCGAACCGTACTCACTTAAAATTATGTAACACATTTAAATTCGAAGTAAAATTACACGAATGACAACCAAACATTTTCATTTTAGAAATACTATTCATCAAAATGATTTGTATTAAAACACTCAAAACATTTAGTCATTTTGTTAGTATAGAAAAAAAGTCAAACTCATTTCGTCATTTATGTTAGTATAAAAAAAATCATTAAGGCGCAATTCAAGCAAGAAGCTACCTATATTTCTATAATGTTTTTTGATTAGTACACAAAACACGTATTCAAAGATAAAAAAAAGGTATATTCTTTTTGATCGAGTGGATAGTGACATTAAGGTGAGAATTATGTGAGAATCGATACGTTGGTTGAATCAAAACGTCAAACACAAACAAACGTCACTTTTTCAGGTTCAAAATTTTGAGGTTGTTACTTTATTTATTTTTATTAAATTATTGCGCGTTTCGCAAAATAATAATGTGTTATGGTGTTGTTATCTCTAATTGTGTTACGTTTAGCAAACAACATAAGTGTAGTACCTGTGATGCTGCTAGCTGTGAAGCAAAAAGAAAGTTTTCCAAATAATGGATAGCGTTACAGAAAAACTGTTCGAATGTTTTGGACACCGTAAATTCAAGAGTGAACTTCAAGAACAAGCTGTAAGGGCGATTGCAAGAGGTAAATATTTAAATTGTTAATTTAAAAATGATACAAAATAATGTCACGCAATTTCGAATAGTGGTAAATTGAAGGACAGCTTGGGCTTTGGAGTTATGTATTTGAGAGGTTATATTTATATTTGGTTGGGTTATATCAGAAGTGCCAAAAGTGACATTTCTAAATTTACGTTCCTTTCCACTGTTTCTAACAAAATCGTTTTTAAGAAATTAAAACAAGTGTGAAAGTATAATAATATTGTTTAATGAAAAAGAAAATACATAAATGTTGATAAATAAAATTATTATTATTTTCTTTCAGGTGTTCATGATGTTTATGTGTCAATGCCAACGGGTTCGGGCAAGTCCCTATGTTTCCAACTACCGGCTATGTTGCAAGATAATAAAGTGGCAATCGTCTTTTCACCACTGCTGGCCCTCATAAAAGATCAAATTGATCATTTGACAAAAATAAAAATATCAGCAGAATCTATAAATTCAAAAATGACTACAAAAGACCGAGAAAGGGTTTTAAATGATTTACGTAGTATGAAACCTAATACGAGATTCCTATATGTGACACCAGAACAGGCTGCTACTAGTACCTTCAAAAGTCTATTAGACCATTTAGTAAAGTATAAAAAGGTTTCTTATATTATTGTGGATGAAGCCCACTGTGTTAGTGAGTGGGGTCATGATTTCAGACCAGACTATTTAAAATTAGGTGAACTAAGAGAAAAATATAAGAGCATACCTTGGGTCGCACTTACAGCCACTGCGAGTGTAGAGGTGGCTAATGATATCCTATCAAACCTCAAACTGCTACAGCCTGTAGCAAAATACAAAACACCTAGTTTTAGAAAAAACTTATTTTATGACATAGTTTATCAAAATTGTATACAAGATGAAATTGGACATTTAATGGAATTTTTAAAGAAAAGTCTAAGTGGGGATGAAAATGCAAAGCCTGTGAGTAATCGGTTATAATTTTTTTCTAAGAGGCCCACATCTATATGGCAACGGGACAAACAATGGGAAATGAGAGATGCATAATTAATTTGGTTTAATATTAACTATGTAATAATACAATTTCTTTTTTGTTTGTTTTCAGAAAGATAAAAATGCTGTAATTGTGTACTGTAGAACAAGAGATCAGACTGAGGAGCTGGCCAATATGTTGACTAAGAGGGGGTTAAAGTCATTGGCATATAATGGAGGTATTGCCTATAAACAATAACTTTTTACTATAAATTAAACAATATTTGTGCATTGTTGTAATACTAGTTTTATGGGCTTAGTACAACCTAAGGTCTTATAAAAGTAAATGTACAATGTCATAAAATTAAGGGTATTATAAAATGCTCATCAACTTGTACTCTTGGCGGGCAAGATAATGCCCCTTAATCAATGTGAATTTATTACTTATTGTAGATCAGCCAGCCGGGCTAGAATACACGCCGTGATAAAATCTCATCGATGATTTTAGACGACTGAATGTGTGTGATTATCGTGTAAAATCGATAAAATGGCGCGATAAAAGTTTATCCCCGCGCGCATCCTAGGCCTACTGGTTAAGATGCGCGCCGTGATAAAATCTCATCGATGATTTTTCGACAAACATGGGCTTATCGCGTAAAATCGATAAAAAGGCGTGATAAAAGCATATCGCGGTGCGTATCCTAGGTCTACTGGTTAAGATGCGTGCCGTGATAAAATCTCATCGATGATTTTTGACAAACATGGGCTTATCGCGTAAAATTGATGAAAAGGCACGATAAAAGCTTATCGCGGTGCGTATCCTAGGCTTACTGATGACTTAATCAGTAATTCTTGGCGGACAGGTATGAAGTCGTCGGACAGGATAGCGGTGCAGGAGCAGTGGTCGGGCGGCGAATGCGCGTGCATCTGCGCGACGGTGTCGTTCGGCATGGGCGTGGACAAGGCCAGCGTGCGTGCCGTCGCGCACTGGGGGCTCGCGCAGAACGTGGCGGCGTACTACCAGGTAGCTATGGCATTGGATAGAATAGAGATGTTTCCTGGGTAAAAAAGAAGTTTTTATTAGTTAACTTATCAAAAAATACTTGACACGTATTTTTAAATTTTTCAAACTAATAAAAAATAAAAATTTAGAGATAAAGCGCGTCAAAGCTCAAAAGGAGAGAGGTTTGTGACGTCAAGGCACTTAAAAGTGTAGCACGTTGTGACGTCATACGGTATTTCAACTCACCATAACTCCGTAATTAGTACTATCAAACAAATTATGTCCAATATTTTTTGATAATATACATAATTGACGGCCTAAAAGTTATCACCGGGCAAACTTAAAACTCCACCGCGTGTCTCTTTATACTTACACTAAACAATTACGAAACCAGTGTGCTTAAAATACTTCGATAAGTGTGAAGTAAATCGGACTTTCTGTGATTAACCGAATTTCACGCGTGCGGAGTTGTGGGAAAAGCTAGTTCTATTTATAATGGAACTGTATGCTTGTCTGCAAGAGTGATTTAAAGTTCATGGTCGCTGCAATTGCACACAGGAAATGTGTATATTGGATGTGATTGCAAGATGACTATGCAACTGAACTGGCACCCTGATCTATTCAAGGCTCAATCTTAACATTGTTAACGATGGTATTGTTGATTTTATATTGTATGCAGAACTTCTAACGCACTGCGCAGATGTTAAAATTGTACAATAAACATCCAGGGTAGCATCATGGCTTCTGCCATCTGTTTAAATATTGCGATATTCTTACTTATATTTTATTTTAAACTATAGGTATTGTTTATATCTATCTATTTGCGTGTATCTATCCTACTTAGTTTATGAGATTGTAGTGTTAGAATAGAATAAAACTTTATTGACACAGTAAGCACAATTTGTAACAAAACAAATAATAAAAATAGTAGGCCACTGCGCCAATAGGCTCTCGCTCAGCATTTATCTACATGCTCATAAGGGCATGTCAAGAAGCTGGTCTTCCGCGGACGCCCTTGTTTTGGCATCGCGAATCCCTTCGGGGAGACACCCACTCGAGTTCAATATGTCTCAAAAGGGTGCGCAATGCAGGGAAACTGGACGTTTTTAAACTTGTTAACCAAGTTAGTTAGCTATACCAGAATATTATAATAATAACGTCATATTATAAATTTAGGAATCAGGCCGCGCTGGACGAGACGGCAAGCCAGCCTTCTGCCGCATCTACTACTGCCACAGCGAACGTAACGCCGTCGATTTCTTGCTCAAATCTGAGATGGGGCGCGCGAAAACTGAAGATCAGAAGAAGCGTTGCAAGAATAACTACAAAAGCTTCGAAATTATGGTCAAATATTGCGAGACAGTGAAGTAAGTTAATACACCACACATACATTTTTAGTCGTTTTTTTTTACTTTACCTTGTAATAAATTATAATTTGTGACACTTGCTCTATTTTAATTACTACACACACATAGTTGTTTATATGATTTAGGTTATCATATTATGTATAAAGTCAGTCAAAACAGTGTGTAGGCCAAATCCTCTATTTGTCTCTGGTAAATTAGAAAAAGTCGTAAGTCCTTCAACGAAATCCTGAGACTAAACCGCCTGATGATGTTCAGATGCCGACACAAGATGTTCGCGGAGTACTTCGGCGAGGAGGCGCCCAAGTGCATGGCGCGCTGCGACGCGTGCGCCGACGAGCGCGCCGTGCGCCGCGCGCTCGAGCAGCACCAGCGCCGCGCCATGTCCGCGCGCCTGGCCAGCGGCGGCTTCTCCATCAATGAGGACCCCTCTGGCCTGTACGGCGAAGGCCGCTACGGGCAGAAACGGTTAGTGCCCAGTAGCTACATGGCGAGCTGCCATGCGTGCGCCGAGTATTGGAGCAGCAACAGTGCCGCGCCATGTCCGCGCGTCTGGCCAGCGGCGGCTTCTCTACTAATGAGGACCGCTCTGGCCTGTACGGCGAAGGCCACTACGGGCAGAAACGGTAAGTGCCCAGTAGCTACATGGCGAGCTGCTATGCGTGCGCCGAGTATTGGAGCAGCAACAGTGCCGCGCCATGTCCGCGCGTCTGGCCAGCGGCGGCTTCTCTACTAATGAGGACCGCTCTGGCCTGTACGGCGAAGGCCGGCGAAGGCCACTACGGACAAAAACTCTAAGCTAGTGTCGTTATAGTGATCATTTATAGTAAAAAATGCATAAAATAATTATATTAAGTGTCAGTCTTTAAATGCAAGATGCAAAAATATTGCTTATTCTGTAAGGGGGAAGTTCTGGTGCTCAATGTATAATAATTTTTCAATATTGTCCATTTTAGGGAAGCAGAAGGTTACAACGAAGCCAGCGACGAATCCGATGGCGAGAGTACTCGCCGCAAGGTAGCTCAAGAGACTAAATCGCTGATCATGCAGGAGTTTGCCAACAGAAAAAAGAATATTCTGGATCAGGGAAAAAAGAAAAAAGACGACACAGAGTCTGCGAAATTCTCCAAATGTAGAGCAGCGGAAAGTACATGTAAAAAGGTAAGTTTAATTTTTACTGCTTTATGTGAGCCTAAACCCAAAATCAGAATCTCGGTTGTACATTGACACTCTTAGATGAGAACCCCCCTTTTTGTGTCTTAAAGAACTTGCCTCTAGAACTTGTATCAGGAACTAACTGAACACTTATTATTAATTATCAGGTGAATGGACTAACAGTAGCAGGCCGGGAGAGCTACCTCTCGCTTCTTAACGACGCCCTCTACCACAACTATTCGAGAGCAAAGGACGAGGACCCATCCGACAGGCCTTTGTCCCGCGGCGCAATCGAGCAGTGCGCAATAGATATGGAGTACGAAGCCTTCTCAAACAGCACTGTCATCAGTCTTTATAGGCGAGCCATGTCTAAATTGGTAATTATGCTTTCTTTTATTTCAAAAATGAATATTTACACGTATAGCACATAACTGAATATATTCCTGCGGTGATGGGGCGTAGTGGAATGTTTTTGTTAAAATGTAAGTAAGACTTCAGACATGTACTAGTAGTATGCTGTGACAGCTCTGATATGTCGCCCCTCCCATACCGCTCAACCATTGCAGAAACAATAGGTTGTTTGCGCTTTGGGAGCTAATATTATTTTTTATTTTGTAGATAGCTGCTGTTAAAGATTGCAAGGAACACATGTACCCGCAGTTGAAAACATTCGAACCAAGGAAACGTAATACTCTTGCTGAATTCGCTAAAGATTTCGAGTCGAAGAAAAATGAGCAGAAGCATCAAGGCTTCATTACAGCATCGCAATTAGAAATTGGTAAGTTTAATAGTCAAAAATCATTATCAATTGCCACATCAGTTCTTGCCATAACATATCCTAAATCGGGAGATTTTGCAAACGTTACGTTGATAATTTCCTTATTTATGTGCAACTATTTAACTCATTATATTGTTTTAGATAATATGGAAGGCAATGGCCCGAGGGAGCTTTCTAAAGCTGATAGAGAAACTAAAAGAAAGGCCAATTCCTTTAAACGAGACCCCCTAACTCAGACCAAGTTAAAAAGTTTCTTCAAAAAAGCTTCAGACGAATCTCCAAGTTCAAATACAGACGTAAGTGATGACGATAATACCAGTCTTGTAATCGATGAAGACAATCACAACGATACAACATTAAAGTTGGAAGACGGCGATATACACAACGATACTACTTTAAAGTTAAGCGAAAGCGTTAATACAGATGAGAAAAATAAAAGAAAGTCGAAAACGTTTGTTATAAATATTACACTAAAAGGTATACCTAGCAATAAAAATAAAGATAACAGCTCAGATGAAGCAAGACGCCATCACGATGATAGCGAAAGTGATGATGAAGCTTCAAAGGTTATTAAAGAGTCGAAAACATCAGATAGTCCAGCAAAAAAAGATAAAGAAAAATCACCTATCAAGTCTCCACAAAAAGTCAAGCCCATAGCAAAACGAAAAATAAAAGCGCTGTTTGGTGACTCTTCTGACAGTGACACTGATCAACAAAAGCAAAAAAAAATTAAATGTAATGACGACAAAGAGAAAAAAGGATCTAAATACGATGACAAAAAAGATAATAAAGAACACAAGAAAAAGAACAAGAGCAAAGATAAAGATAAAGAAAAAAAGAAAAAGAAAAGAGAAAGTCATCAAAAAAGTATTTCAGATAGTGAATCTGAAAAAGAGATGGTAATTGATACAGACAGAAATAGAAAGAAAAAAGAAAAATACAACCGAAATAAAACCGTATCAGAAAGTGATAAAGAAAAAGAGCTGGTTATTGATACTGACAAAAACAAGAAAAAAAGGGCAACTTCCCATAAACATGTTTCAGAGAGTGAATCTGAAAGCGATTTGGTGATTGATTTAGACAAAGATAAACCGAAAACAGAAATTTTGCCTATGAATTCAGACAGCGAGTCTGAAAAAGAGTTGGTTATTGACATTGAATCTCATGAAACCGAAAATAAGTTAAAAAATAGCGTAGAATCAAGGAATTCAAAACACAAGAAACAATTTAAAGAACCTGGATTAGATGCAGATATGGCTATAGATGATGATGAAAAAGAAATTGCGAATCCACCTGTCAGTAATAAAACCTCTATTGAGTCAAACAATTCGTCTGCTTTATCTGTAGATGACCCAGAACTGAATAAAGCACTTAAACTAAGCGAAGAGGCAGATAAAGTGTTACTGTCTCTTAAGAAATTTGCAGAAAAGCCACCAGAGCCTATTGTTGTCGAAACTCCTAAAACTGAAAAGAAATCTAGTCCCTCAATTTCTCAACCACTTTCACCAACTAAACACGATAAAAGTAAGTCTAAGGAAAGTAGCTCTAAGCATAAATCGTTAAGTTTGAAAAAATCTAAGGATAAACACAAGCATGAAAAGAGATCATCTAAAAACAAAGTCGATAATTCAAAAGAAACGTCTACAAGAAAAACAGAAAAAGTAGACGTAGCCGGATTAGTCGTTAAGTTATTGATGCCGTATTATAAGAATAAAAAGATAAGCAGCAGAGACTTGTTTAAAATCACTGCTAGACACATTGTGCACCAATTATTAGCAATACAAATAACCGGTAAGTCTCTGAAAATAGAAAATTTATTTATTTTTAATAATAATAATGAAATGAAATAATCTAACTGATAAATACATAATTTTATTTACAGAAGAAGCAGCTATCGACATGTTACTTAAGAAAGCCTTCAGCAAGGAATTGAAAATAGAAACGGAAAGTGATTTACCTGTTAAACTGAATTTAAGCAATGTTACGTAATAATATCAATAATTAATTATTTATGATTTTTATAATTGATATTTATTGTTCGGCACGTTTTAATTGCCTATTAAATATTATTCTTGTACATTGTATACATTATTATATATATAATGTTATTTAATTATAATTAAAATTTTAACATCGCGTGTGTTAAGATGTTTCATATTTTACATTTTCTATAGCAGAGGGATTGCAGGAAATAAAATACATAATATGTTAGACATAATTTGTTTATGTATTTGTTTAGTGTTTCATTACAAACATTTCGCTAATCTTATAAAATTACCTTCATAGACATCTTTCAATAATAAAATCCATCCATAAATCGTACAAAATAAACGTTTTTCTTATAGTCAACATAATTTTCTTACAAATACAATAAAATATACTAATTGCAGTTCTGAACTGCTTTAAATGCACCTTGGAATCAACGAAACTAATTGTATAAAAATTTTTATTTCCGTCAAGATTTTTTTTACATTCAAGGCCATTCATAAATTTTATATTTTGTCAAAAACTCAAAAAAGTAGCTAACTTTAATGCTATGCATAAGGCAATAGGTTCAAAGTATATTAGCAACTATAGGTGTAGCGCTCTATAGTTCCAAAATACTGGACTGTCCTGTCGATGACATTGACAGTGGGGCGCCACCGTCAATACCGGATCGCTGGTTCAGATTTTTGCCATGTTGGAAACCATATAGTTGAACGATGGTAGCGCCCCCCTGTCATTGAGTTTGGCGGGACAGTTCAGCGTGGGTCATCTATATTAGTCCTGAGGGGAGGGGTAACATTGACATAATTATGACGTGCCAGAGCATATAAATCTGAAGTCTCACTGACTTTTGGCGTTACAGAAACACCATATTGTGGCGTGAGCCCACTCGTAACACAAGCTTATTTAGCTTACCTCCAGGGGCTAACGGGACTATTAGTAATTTGTGCAATACAAATTGCTGCTCTCATACCTCAGGCACTGAGATAAGAGCTAGACCTATATACCTAAATTCTTTAGAAATTTCCTTAAATGTAAACAAACACTTGTGCACACAATTACACCATAATCACTTACGTGTTCATAATATCATACACATTATTTCACAAGCCCATGAAACCAACTTTATTCTCACGATTATACAAGTTTGGAATCAATCTTTGAAACAAATTATTTTAGGAAAATATGTGGACGATGAAAATTTGTGAGACTTGTCAAATTGACTTGAAGTTTAAAATTATGTGTTATCTCCATGTTGTCTCTGACACATCAGTGTTGTAACCTGTAAGTCATAGACAATAATCGGTAAATTATTCAATCATTTTTATTACTGATTGCAATTAAATAGATTTAAATAGGGCCTTAATCAACAATGTATTTTTTCTTCATTGAATGTACTACTAATTATTTATTGCACTGCTTTATAAAGCATTATAAATTCTTTCTATAGGTACGTAAGTACTACAATAATTTCAATTCGCGATTAACGAGAGGTTTTGTCGCCTCACTAGGGCACAGATTAAAAATGTTTTAATGTCAGTTGGCCATATTTGTTTACATTTAAGGAAATTTCTAAAGAATCCGACTTTAGTGCTGTTTTGCCTCACAAAGTGTCTTGCAATTTATTCCCCAGTCGTGTCTGGGCCGGGCGGCGCAGACACGGCCTCGTCCTATATGTTAAGTGCGCGCTTGCGCGGCGGCTCTCGCGCGGCGGCCCCGCGGTACCGGCGGCGCGGCGCGCGCGGCGTCTCTGGCTCGGGCGGCGCGGACGCCGTCACGAGGTTGCGAGCGTTGCCGAACGACGGCGCCTGCCCGATCGTCTCTTGGAACTGTCGCACGCGCTCCACTAGCTCCTCGTCGTTCTCGATCAGCTCCTCGATCTGGAACGAAAATTTTTTTTAAGATACTAGCTTTCACTAGAGCTTCGTTCATACGAAAGTTGGGACAGAAAGTACTCTAGTGGTAATCACGGACCGGGAGACATCGTGTAGTAGACGATCCCACTTTGTAAACCGACGATCCAGTGAAGGTTCAATCCAGTTTACTGATGCTTCGTCCTCATGGATTTCGGACTCCTGCAGCCAGACACCTAACAAAAGTTGGGGTAGAAAGTACAATCTAGTACTAGTGGGAATCACGGACCGGTTGTGTAGTACACGGTCCCACTTTGTAGACCGACGAACCAGTGAATGTCACGGGAGGTACCTGAATGTAGGCAGCGTAGTACCTTAGGGGAAATCTTTGGGGAGTCTTGACCAGCAGCGAACGTCTTTTGGCTAAAACGACGACCAGAAACAAATTAAGTAAATATAAGCATAGCAGTAACGTGACATACCTCGTGCCGGTAGTCGTTGAGCAGGTCGGTGGCGATGCGCACGAGATATGCAGCCACTTGCCCGCCGCGCGCGCGCAGCCGTCCGTATAGCCGCAGCACGGCCGGTACCAATACTTCCGCTACGGTGCGCTTCATTTTCTGCAAAGAAAATATACTTCTGTATAGTTACTATTCATTACAACGCTATTTTCCACTGAAGGCTGTAACACGATGCAAAGATATTGGTATATTGATAACACGTGGTGGAGACTTCTAATATGCGGTACCCGTTTGAACATCTTTCCCCCGAGAAAAAGGTTGGAAGTAATAAAATTGTTACGAGACTATTCCCACCACTGAAACTCCTGTGTAACCAGGATCTACAGCTTGACCGCCACAAAAACCCAACCAATGAAGGTCAAGTTTGTCCCGGGGGAAAGTTAAACTGTCATTGGACCCGCAACGAAATTAATCAGAAGAGCACAGGAGCCGTTCAAAATTGTTAGGCAGCAAATAAATAACGAGAAGGCACTCACATGGGACACTATGTTTGTAGTTACACGTTCTTGGAGATCGTCGATATCTGCATCACCGCTATTTTTTTCAGGTTTTTCTGAAATAATTTTAGCAATATTATACTCTTACTCTCTGCAGAACTAATTACTCTTATGATTGATGAAGTATTGAATGAACAGTCATCTCATTCCCACTATACAATACATAAATCGCGGAAAGAGGTTCAAATTGATCTGTATAATCAAATGAAATACATTTTTAGGTTGTTGCCAACACTAACAAACACTCTCACTCGGCAGCTTCATCCTAAGCCCGCAGAGTAGCGTAATGGTATCCAACAGGGCAGCATAGAGCGCGGGCGAGAGCTCCTCGTCGCACTCGTCGGCCGCGTGGCCCAGCACTTCGCGCGCCAGTTTGCACCGGACGTTCAGTTTCTGCACTAGCGACAACCGCTGCAGCACCTTGCCGTAGACTCATCGAGTCATTCGCAAGTCCCTAACGAATCATTAAGTCCACCACTCACTCGGTAGCTTCATCCTAGGCCCGCAGAGTAGCGTGATGGTATCCAACAGGGCAGCATTGGGCGCGGGCGAGAGCTCCTCGTCGCACTCGTCGGCCGCGTGGCCCAGCACTTCGCGCGCTAGTCAGCACTGAACGTTCAGTTTCTGCACTAGCGACAACCGCTGCAGCACCTCGCCGTAGACTCATCGAGTCATTCGCAAGTCCCTAACGAATCATTAAGTCCACCACTCACTCGGCAGCTTCATCCTAGGCCCGCAGAGTAGCGTGATGGTGTCCAACAGGGCAGCATCAAACGCCATACAACCAGTGGACCAAATACTTATTATAACCCTACTGTTCTACGCAACGGGAAGTTATGAACGTGTAGGTACTAGGTGATATCTTCTACATCGAACAGCCAACTGTGCATCGTATAGTGCACAAAGTAACAACCAAAATAGCTGCTATGAAATCGCTTTACATAAACATGCTTATTTCTGAGGAATAATATGGGGACATCGCATAGTAGCATTTCCAAGAGTTGTTGATTTGTCAATTTGATGCTCTGTCAACAATGATAAATGTCAATTGTGATTACGTTTCGGTCCACGATCGCCACTTAATAGATTTCAACAATAAAAATTATCACCTTTAAAATTATTTTTTTAATTAAATAAAAATGCAAGCATTAATTTTTTTATATGATAAAACGACATTTATGTATAATAGAAACTAAAAATAAACTGTTGTATGTTAAGTTGATTGAGTAATATTTCCATAAAAGACGATACATAACCAAACGATGATGCGTGTAACGGATAAAAAACGTAAAGTTATCATTTGTGTAAATGAAAACATACTTTTTTTGGTAAATGTTGCCATTATGTAAACATTTGAGAGCTGCTTAGCTGATCACGGCTTCAAATCCGTTGAGTAGCGTTTGAGAATACCATTTAAAATTGAAGGATACTTAAATTTAGGAGCCCGTCAGCTGAGTGACAGATTTGAGTAGTGTTTCAGTATTCGGCCGTTAATTAACTAACAAAAAGTTCAAAATGAGTTACGAGTGTTTGAAAGTGTTACCACATTTGAATCCTGAAATGTATGAATGCTTGTCAGATAACACCTTTGTTAAGGTTTGACACGTAACAAAATTTGCGTGTTTTGAGCTCATTAGTCGGTTTTATCATCACTTAAAACCTATGTTCATGTTTCTTCAGTTTTGTCAGATAACACCTTTGTCCACTTACCCCTTCAATTTATTGATACCTGAATTTTCAACATACATAGAGGCCATAAGGTAGGGCGAAATGAAGATAAGTTTTGATCTGCTATTCTAATTATAGGTTGAGGCCGAAGCTGCTGATTGGGTTTCAGTACGAGTTGAGTGCGACTGATCTGTGAATTGTTCTTACTTTTGATTTAGCTTACCGGGAATGCGTGCGATGTGGAATTCATTGGGGGAGGCCTATGTCCAGCAGTGGACGTCCTGTGGCTGAAATGATCTTCTTCTTTTCGTGTCGACAACACACCTACACAGTGTCAGCCCAAAACTCCGCCACAAGAGTGGCGTTGTCAGTAGCACTCATCAAATCCTCCTGAGTGCAGTTGCTTGGGCACTCAGGGCACGACAACAGAAGGGCTGAAATGATGATGATGATCATCATCATCATCATTTCAGCCACAGGACGTCCACTGCTGAACATAGGCCTCCCCCAATGCTTTCCATGTTGATCGATTGGCAGCGGCCTGCGTCCAGCGCTTCCCTGCTACCTTTACGATGTCGTCGGTCCACCTTGTAGGTGGACGTCCCACGCTGCGTTTTCCGGTACGCGGCCTCCATTCCATGATGATGACGATTACCGGTAATACAGCGGCGTGCGCAGACGCAGGTAGCCGGCCAGGAGTAGCCTCGTGAGCGCGCGCGCCGTGGCCCGCCGCAGCGGGGCCGCCGCCTCAGGCGCCAGGCAGCCGCAAACCGAACCCAGCAGCGGCTCCACGATGCACGTGTACCTAGGAGCGTGATAACATTGAACTCAGCACAGATTGTGTCATAAAACTCATTTATTTTTGCAAATAGGCTTTTAAAAAGCACTTTTACACGTCCCAATATTAACCCTACCACTGCTTCGGGACAATAAATGGGCCAGTGCTGAGAAGAAGCAGCGCAAGAAACTCAAGTCACTATTGTCAGCCTCCTTTTCAAGGGTTTACAATCTTTAAAATATACAAATTATAGTCATAAGTATTGATGCGAGCTAGGTAGTTAAACATTTTTAATAATCATCAACTTTATAGTAGCCTTTTTACATTAAGGTGCTTATGATATGTGCTTTAAATTTATAAATGGGCAATTCTGCAACAGTTTGTGGTAATATTTACGATTAGCTGTCTAGTTTCAGCAGAGTTAGGACCATCCCCACTTTTCCAGTGGTTATCGTAAGAGGCGGCAAAGGGAGAACTTTCAACATCATCATGCTTGACCCGTGCGAGGAGTGTAGGCCGAATCCTTTCTTTTGCCTCTAGTAAATTAGAGAGCATCGTCTTCCTGCAATGGAAACCGAATGACCCTGATGACTGATGATAATTACGATGTCGGCACATAAGTTTAACAAATCTACCTCTATACAAGGTGTTAGGTAAATAGGTATATGAGCCGACACTAGCCCATGTTAACATGGGCATATAAATAGTATTGTGAAGTCAGAAATTTGATATCATCATTGTAATTTTTTTAATTTTCATACTGCTACTCATACATCGTATGAAAATTAAAATAATTAAAGTGAAGATATCAAATTTCTGACTTCACCATACCATTTATATGCCCATGTTAACATGGGCCAGTGTCGACTCATATACCCATTTACCTAACACCCTGTATAAGTAGTTTTTTACGTCGGGAAATGGCCGAATGGATGACCTGGGTGGTGAGGAGAGTCCCCACCAGTAACCATGTACCAACCTGGTGCAAATGTCGGTGAGTGCCAGCAGCGCGTTGATGCGCGCGGGCAGCGGCGCCGATGGCTCCTGCAGTAGCGCGGCCAGCGGCCCGGCCGCGTCCGCCGCCGCCGCGCGGGAGCGGACGCATAACCGGCCTAGTCCTGCCACGCTGGTGCCGCGACGCTCCTCGCACCACTCTGCATGAATATATTAATAAATCTATATATATANCCTTTTTATATTCTTGCACTTACATCTCACCATTTCCAGGCAAGCCTCGGCAGCTACGGGCAAGCCGGTCCATGTAGGCTCCATCTTGCTATCGGCTCTGGTCCACCCCCAACCAGTCGGGTAAAGGGAAGACTTGGATTGATCTAATAAGTAAGTGGATAGATCTTGAACAAGGGACGACTAGAAAAGAGGACCAAAATCCCAACAGAACAGCCTAATCTGGTTTACTGATAGCTCAAAGATGCAGTAGCGGCGGGTGCCAAGCATCAGAGGGTGACACATGTCGCACAGATAAGTACTCACTGGCGCATCTGCATAGCAAGTCTGCGGTCTATGTCATTGTCTTTCAATCTTGGAATCGGTAGGTAACCCCAAAATCGTGGGGGTTACCAGGGGGTGCCTTAGGGCTTACGCCGCCACTGTAAAGATGGCCTTGGGAACAGGAACGGGCGTCTACTGTAAACACTTCGAACATAGTGAACGCTTAAGGAGGTTTGCTACAGTGTNTAAAATAATAATTCTTGCTTGCTTATGAACCAAATAGTATGAATTCATGGATAAAATAAATATTTTTTTCCGATGCGCAATAAAAATCGCCCGCTGTGTCCTGAAGAAATATTTTTTTCCACCTACTTTTTGCGAAAAAAGTACCATACAATGTTATATTTTTATAATCCTGATAAATATAGCTTTCAGGTCATATTTTTTTTATTAGATTATCTCCAGTTGTTTAAAAGTAAATGACGTTTATTTAAAAAAATACTTTTTGATTTTTGAGAATTTTACTCAATATTTCAATTTTTTTGTATGAAAAGGCAAAAAGTTTGTTCTAGAAATGAATTCGCCATCCTTTAATTATCTGAAAATGATACCACACTTGCCCTAATACCCATAGTTTTGAAGATATGGGCCTTAAAGTGAAGCGCGGCGGAAGGAAACTTTCCCCCCCTCCCCCTGCTACCACAGGGGGGGCTCCCGATGTCTACCGACGGAAATCCACTCAGGAGCACCCAAAGAACCACTGTTGCAAAAATGAGCCTTCTATACCAAAGTGGAGGGGTTCTTGCACTAAATTCCCTACTATGATGCGAGCTAGGTAGTTAAACATTCCAAACATTTTTAATAATCATCAACTTCTATAACCTTTTTACATTAAGGTGCTTATGATGATATGTGCTTTAAATTTATAAATGGGCAATTCTGCAACAGTTTGTGGTAATATTTACGATTAGCTGTCTAGTTTCAGCAGAGTTAGGACCATCCCCACTTTACCAGTGGTTATCGTAAGAGACGGCTAAGGGAGAAGTATCAACATCATCCATGCTTGACCCGCGCGAGGAGTGTAGGCCTTCTTTCTTTTGCCTTTAATAAATTAGAGAGCATCGTCTTCCTGCAGTGGAAACCGAATGACCCTGATGACTGATGATAATTACGATGTCGGCACATAAGTGTAACAAATCTACCTCGTAATTATAAGTATTTTTTTACGTCGGGAAATGGCCGAATGGATGACCTGGGTGGTGAGGAGAGTCCCCACCAGTACCATGTACCAACCTGGTGCAAATGTCGGTGAGTGCCAGCAGCGCGTTGATGCGCGCGGGCAGCGGCGCAGATGGCTCCTGCAGCAGCGCGGCCAGCGGCCCGGCCGCGTCCGCCGCCGCCGCGCGCGAGCGGACGCATAACCGGCCTAGTCCTGCCACGCTGGTGCCGCGACGCTCCTCGCACCACTCTGCAGGAATACATTAATAAATAATAAATAAAAATTCTTTATTACAGACAATTTAAAAAAGTCCAAATGCGGGTTCATAATAAAAATAAACAAAGGAAAATTGTACCCTGTGCAGAGACGGACCATCATGGTGGTGGATAAGGCCCCGTGATCAGTCTCTGCACAAGACACTTCCACAGCGGCGATGTGTATCTGTCCTCTATGGTCCCTAGAATGCTGTTACGACTGACTCGCAATGGTAATAAGGCATACAGATTTGGTCTAATCTCAGTGTCCAATTTGCAAAATGTCAAGTGGTAGCAAAATGTCCAAGTCGCAAAACGTTCAAGTTGCGAAACGTTCAAGTCTTAAAGGTGAGGTTACCCTCCTGAGGTAGGTTGCGCACCTCAGGCGGTGCCTAGCTCTTCCGCGCGGACTATAATAACGTACCAGGCGGCGGGTCGGGCACGGCGGCGAGGAACAGCCGCAGCAGCGCGGCGGAGGGCGGCGCGGGCGCCACCAGCGACAGGTCGGCGGCGCGCACCCACTCCTCCAGCTCGCCGCCGTTCAGCGCGCGCCGCTCCGCTGACAAACAATACCACATTGATTTTTTATCTACCATGGAGTGATTTATTAAGCCTAAAAAGGTATACTGAATATCGATAAACCCTACTTGGGTAAAATGGCTTGAGTAATTTTTTTTTTTTCCTTTATTCCATCATGCGATCAGTCAGAAGACTATGAACAGATTTGTTCTGTGATTATCGGCTTGAGTAAATAGCCACCAAATAAACCGGGACCGAACTAAAATCGAACCCCGGACCTCTGAGCCTGAGACAATGGTCTTATGAAAACTCATTTACTTCGAATAAAAATAAATTTCAATACTGTTTCGAATATTAGTAGACAACTATTGTTAAAAATATGACGAAGGAAACTATTGTAAGAACATCACTTACACAGTTGCATTAGTTCAGTTGCCCACAGTAAGTTAGACGGGTCGAGATGTGCCGCAAGGGCAGCACATGCGATTCTGCAACCTAAAAAAATTTTTTATTTAAAGCGATTTCGCACTACGTCCAATGCGTATCCGTGAATACGGTTTTGAACAGTCGTAGAACTATTTGTATGGTAGTTTACGCACTTGATCAGATTTAGACGTAGTAGTGCGAAACCGCTTTTACACAAACGATAGTTTGTTGAGGCAAGTCACCCAAGTGATAAGATGGATATTATTATGTCCGTGTTATGATACTTTTTTACTTAGTAGCTACGTAACTTTTAGTACATTTAGAAATCTTCCTTCCTTTACAGGCATACAAGTTTTAGATAGCTACCGTCGTCCCCGGCGGCCGCGAGGCGCTTGACGAGGTGGTCGCGCAGCGCCGTGCGCGCGGCGTCGCCCAGGCAGCGCGCCCACGTGCTCAGCAGCTCCAGCGTCAGTGGCATCAGGCGCGGGTCGTGCTCCTGGGTGTGGAAAGGAATATTCTTAACGCATTATAAGTTCGGTCGTTTCCTTTTCGGCCGGTACAGTCTTTAATATCAGTCGATATTCACTGCACTTGTGAATAAGTACTGTCGCTCCGGAACTGTTTGTGGGGAGCAGCAATCAGTAAGATCATGTCGGCTATTTTAATGAGCATGCGGTTTAACATGCGAGTTACGCTTTTTGTAATCATCATCATCATCATCATCATCATTTCAGCCATAGGACGTCCACTGCTGAACATAGGCTTTTTGTAATGTTACAGATCAATTTAAGTAAGATATCGTGCTAGGTGGTCAATGTGTCTGCTAGGCAGCGCTGCAGTCTTCGGCGTATGGACTATTACAGTACCCGAAGCTAAACACTATGGCGTTGTGTCGTTGTAATACAGGCTATTTTATGTAGTCTGTACATACCGCGTCGCCGCGGGCCAGCGTGTAGTAGTAGTCGAGCAGGAAGCCGAGCTCGGTGTAGTCGACGTGGCGCGCGGCGCTCGTGAGCAGCACCAGGCACTGCAGGTCGCGCGCGTCGCTGCCCACGCGCAGGTGCGTGCTCACGATGTCTATGAGCCGGTGGCTGCGCACATTATTGCAATAAATACCTAGTATAGCTTGTATAAACAGGTTTCTTAAGCTTCAACCACACCAACGCGTGCATATCGCCATCGCCGGCGCGATCATAGTCCAATGACAGGTCGCGCGGACTGTCATGGGTCGAGCTACCTGTCATTGGCCTATGATCGTGCCGGCGATGGCGATCTGCACGCGTTGGTGTGGTTGAAGCATAAGAGTACTGGGAATTACCAGATCTCAGAAACAGTTGGCAGTCAAAGTAATGAATAAAATGGACATCAAATGCTGTGTTTGTTCCCAGTTTTGCCAAGGACTTAGCGAGCTTGAAACAGTCGGTTTTTTTTTATAATTTGTAACGTGCTTAAAAGATCACGAGTCAGAATGCGTGTAAGCTGGTTTATAGAGCTAAATGTATGACATTGGGTCATACAAACAATTTTTGGGAGATGTATTCGAAAGTAAGAAAGTACAACCACAACACACAAATGGTTAGTTACGTAAACTTACCTTATACATTTGGAGGATTTATTCAACAGTGTGCAGGCTTTTTGTAGATGCCTCCTCATGTTGTGCCGGGTAACAGCCGCCAAGAACTTCCATGGCAGCTGGTCTTCGACAACATTCACGTCATATTTCCTGAGGCGATCTATTAATATCTGCTGTACTAGTGTTACTACTTGTTCCTGAACCTGTTGAAATATTAATTTACAACTTTGACAATATAATATTCTGTGATACATCGACTTTTCTAAAAGGAGACAAAGGACAATTATATTCACCTTATTTTCAGGATCCGAGAGTTGGTGCATCGGCCCCAAGAGGAAAGCATCAAAGACCGCGTCACAGGGCGTATGCAACACGAGCTCGCCCAAAGCAGAGATGGCTGACGAGCGAACTAAGATACTCGCGTCCCGGCACAACCCTACTAGGATCTATAAAATAAGAGACAATTAGTACTTTTTTTTGTAATTAACAATGTGGTTAGAAGCAATGTTAGTATTTTCGCTTGCAATAGCTGAGTAATTTTTTTGTATTATGCTTAAGAGCGTTTACGTCTAGCGTGGCATGTCAAGTTTAGGTAATTTCGATGCTAGTTTTATTCACACTAAAATAATTATGACTGTGTGAGTGTTTTCACGCTCTATAGTCAAACCAAAATACTTTGATCCGCCATCGTAAAAGTGTGCCAGGCTGTCAAGTGACAGCTCAAGGAAACTATAAAATCTTTAAATCTTCCAACACCGACTCCATAATCTATACTAATATTATAAAGCTGAAGTTGTGGACCATGACGCTCAACCACCATAAGCAAGCTATGGTGTTAGTGCATCTAATTTACACTATCTTGGTTTGTCTATATATACTGGGCAGGGTAAAAAACTTCGTCACCGCGATGCAGGATTGTATGCGCGGTGGAGTTTGCCATAGTAAGATCGTAACAGCGCCATCTGTTAGTACGGTTTGTAGTGGCGCAATTTATTAATCACAGTTTGTTTATTTGGTTGAACGCGCTAATCTCAGGAACTACTGGACCAATTTGAAAAATTCTTTTTGTGTTGGATAGTCCGTTAATCCCTGAAGGCTTTAGGCTATATATCATCACGCTAAGACCACTAGGAGCGGAGCACCAATGAAGAATGTTTCAAATCAGTGATTTTTTTTATCAAGCTATTTTTGTGTTGAATAAAGGAAGAATATTGGTGAAAAAATCACTTAGATTTTTGGGTATTTCACGTTCTTTTAATTTGTGATTTCTTATTGTAAAATGCTTAAATCTAGAAATTTTCTCAGATAACTATTTGCCTAAGGATTTATGCTATAGGATATAAATGTTTGTTAAATCGTTTACACAGTGTTTTTATAAAAATTTCAGCTTGTAAACTGACGCTAAAGTGGAAATTTACAAAACCTGTGTGGACTTATCTTGATAGAATTCTTAAATGCTAAACTAATCGCAATATTTTCTCAATTAACTATTTAGACGACGAAATTGCCTAACTATTTATGCCTATAACATATTTGTAGTATTACTGGTTAATGATTGTAACGAGTTGAAAAAGTACTGTTTTTGCGCCAAACGGCGTAAACGCTCTTAACACAAGGTACAAATTTTTTATATTTTTTTTATTTTAAATTTAAAAGTATGCTTTTAAATAAAAAAATAATTGTAACTTGTTGTTTGACTAAAATTGGAAGGTATAAAAAAGAAGTTACGGTCAAAGACCCTAAACCACTACAGAAAAACCACAATAGTAAAAAAAAAGTACTAAAGTCCGGTCTCTGAGCACGTAGAATTTTGTCTCATGACCCGAAGCTACCCATCCTTATTGCTCGCGCGCACTCACTGCGGGCGCCCGTCGCACAGTCGCGACCGCAATATAATTACGCGCGAGCGACAAGGATGGGTATCTTGGGGTCATTGGACAAAATTCTACGTGCTTAGAGACCAGACAGTGTCATCAACAAAGAGCCCGATTGTGACCATTTTCGTAAACTAAATTATGTACTTACGCCCACGTCATTAGCGGAGGGTTTAGTAGGTTCTCCGTCTGGCTCGATGCCGGTCAGCAACCGGTGCAGCAGGCCTACGGACGCCCGGCGCACGGCCGCTCGCTCGTCACACACGCAGCGAGCGCACACCGCCATTAGGCGGGACACTTCACCGTCACCGTTCAGATCCTGTAACCAACAAAAGTAACATAGTTAACAAATACGCTTTTCCTTGAGATTATCTTTTTTTTTATCCACAACGAGGAAGCTTTTGGCCTGTATCTCACTTGATGGTAAGTGATGAGCAGGCCGAAGGTGGAAGTGAGCTTCACCCGGAATCCTCAACCACGGAGGAACTGGCTATCTTACCTCTAGCTGCCGGAACACAACAATGATGTTAACATTGTTGTTATGGCGACAGACTTAGGTAAGATGATGGTAGCTAGCCAGGTGGACTTAGAAGAAGCCCTACCACCAACCAAACCGAACAGAAAAATCTGCCCCCACTGGGAATCACACCCGGGACCTCTGCGTCTGAATGATGTTTAACTAAGGCAGGCTGGACCTATAACCAACAAAAGTGGCATGCGCTTTACAAATTTTCTTTTTCTTGAGATTTTTATGATGTTCAACTAAGGCAAGCTGTTGCAGGTACAACAATTCCACCAATCTCAGCCTAATGTTTTTTTTTGTCATAAATGATTTGTCCCAAATCAGCGACAAAAAAGTTATGAAGTAAGAATGGTTTTTGGAGACTTACTATAAATGATAATGATATTGGTTGCAATAGAGCGCTTTAGTTACTGTCGAAATCGATTTTTATTTCGTTTTATAGTTGTCCGACACTGAACCATCCCAACTATGAGATTGTCAGGAGGGCGCTACTATCAATACTGGATTATTAGTTCCGATTTTTACCGCTTGTTTGACGTTTCAGAATCGTGACTATAGTGCGATTGTCATTTGTTAGTAGATGACAGTTTTTTATTTTTCTAATAACCCGTATGGCGTGCTTCATGGGCGCGCGCGGGCTGGCCACGCAGTCGGCGAGCACTTGCAGCGCGCGCGTGCGCAGCGTGCTGGACACGTCGTTGACGCGCTCGTGCACGGCGCGCAGGATGTCGGCGTACGGGACCGTGTGCGGCCGCTGCCTGAGCAAGCCGGCCACGTCTTCCTCCGTTATTTCTTGGTCCTCCTACATTGGAAATGAAAAAAAAAACCTTTTTTTTCTTTCAAAAATCACACCTTTTCCAACTGCATAAGATTCCACAGTATCTAGCTTGACGTGTCATCGTTTGTACAGTCAGCTACAAATAAATAGTTTGAGACACCCAAAGGAGCCAAAAAGTACGCAAGACGTCCTTGTTACTAAATATTAAGAATAAGAATTTTATCAATAATTACTTAGCCTAGATACATTTTGAAGTGAATGAAATTATTAACACCTAGACTAAGCAAAATTGCCTGTATCATAGGTATCTTCATTAAACTATACTACTAACTGGAATAAGGTTGTGTTGTCAACTGGTCAAAAGCCAATTTGGGTGTCACAAACTATGTATTTGATGCTGACTGTAATACAACAGCAAGAAATATTTTATCAACTTTTCGATCCCTTATCATTAGTCTGATTGAAACTATGATAAAGCAAAGGAATGATTCTAGGTCATTTAAAAGTGAGGCATTCATATACATACATTATTTGGTGGAATTATAGTCTCTTGACTATCTTGACTGCTTTCATCTTCAGTCATCATTGCACTGCTAGTTTGTCCCTCCACTTCCATACTTGTGCTAGCTGTAGAGTCTCCAATTCCTGAATCTGATGCAGTATTTTCAGGCTGTTCAAGTTCAGGTTGTGTTTCAGATGATTCTATAAAATTGTACCCATTTTATCAAAGTATCTATCTCAGTGGCAAGCACAAGCGAGAAAACGAAGTCATCTTGAGTATGATCAAACTATCGATTCTCGGCCCATTATAGTTTAAACACAATCTCACATTTTCTTAAAAGTCATTATTTACATACCTGCATTTTCCACTGGCTTTTCAGGTATGGACTCTTGAGGTTTTACTTCTTCAGGTTCATTGCTAAGTAAGTTGGATAACATTTCCTGTAAAAATATATGATATATTTTGAGATATTTCTGTATAATCTTTTTAGACAAAATTATGATGTCAGCTGTTGGTGAAGCAATTGTTACCCAGTGCCATGTAGAAAATATTTCTTTTAGAATATTAAAGAAGATACCATTGCAATCTGACGATGTGAGATTTTTGATGTTGTTGACAGCTTGAGCAACCATTTCACAATATTTCGGTAAGATTTACGTGGCAGTAGACTCATCAGGCCAACAACCAACGAGACTCGAGCGGCGCGAACTTCTGCGCGTTCCTAATGTAGAAGAAGAAACATGATGACATATAGTTTTAAATAAAATATAAATTATATTTTCTACATATAAATAACTACTTACCAAACCATCTAATGTGTAACAGAGATGTTGCAAAAGTACATTGTAACCAGGCAATGCTGCTTTACCATATTTACTCAGAAGCAGTCCAGAATACGTAACATATGACGCTCTTACAAGATTCTGTAAACAAAAAAGTAACTAGTGAATTAATTACTGTAGTGAGAACTATGAGTTAGCTTAGTAATCACTAAACTAGTCACCACCTAACTGGATTCAGTTAGGTTGTCATTTTCCACATTTCTTTGCTTAAAATAACATTGGATATTATAAAACATTACATACATTAGCATTTCTGGTATCAACAGATGCTGCAACCAGTTTTGGAAGAATGCACTTGAAAAGTAGTTTTATAGCTTCTTTGTTTGGCTCTCCATTAGCCTCGCATATTAATATATCAATCATTTCATAGATAACTCTTGATAAATTAGCAAGTTCAATTTTATCTGAAAATTTAAAAAAAAAGTATGAAAAATTATATTATGTATAATTCAAAATTCAGCAATGAGACAACACCATTTTTATACTTACCAATATTCAACTTATTAACAATAGCACCTCCAGTAATATCTACTAAATTACTCAGGATGTCTTCAAAATTCATATCATTTGAGTTGAGCTGAAGCTTCTCTATTATAGCTCTTAGATCAATGACAAAGTTTCTTAGCTCTCTTATCACTGAATTTACTTCCCGAGTCAACTCTTTGGTATTGAAGTAATTCTCTTCATTGTCACACATAATTTTTGGAAATCCAAGACAACCAAGGGAATGTGCAAAAAGTTGGGAGTGATAAATATGATAGGCCTTATACCCAGGAATGGATAACAATTTGTAATACAAACGCGATGCAAGCAAAGCATTGTTTCTATATTCTTTAGAAACAACGTTCTTACTGCCTTGATCAATGTAATATGCAATGATGGCTAAAAGTTTTTGATGTCGGACATGAGTTGACAAAGCAGCCCAAGATTTTTCCTCGACGCTATCTTCAGTATTGAGCCATTCATCAAAGGATTTCATGATTTTCTTGATTACTGAACGTATATTGTCTTGAGCATCAATAGCAGCTTCATACTCGGTGGAAATTTCACCGAATTCAAGAAATTCTGAATAGTAAATACCCTGGACCCAATCATCATCAAGACAATCTAAGTGAATATTCTTTAGTTCGTTTAATACTTGATCCATTTTAACATTAAACCACCAGGAATTTTATTTACGTACTTTGTGAGCTAAACAAACAAATTAAACATGACCACCCAGACCACCACTCGCTGTATGCCATAGAGAAAAGTAATACATAGGCATACATCGCTGTATGCTTTCGTATTGTCAGTGTCAGTAATGTCAGTTTGACATTTTTGACAGTGGGGGCGTTTGGCGAAAAATAGCGTTTGTTAGAAATGAAGAATGTTCACTAATTTTGTTTTTTAGCTCTCTGTATTCTCTGTTAAAAATAAAAAATACACGTGAAACAATACGTGAAAGAATTATTTCGATACGTCAATTATTTTCCAAGATATTGAATTTTAAAAGTGCGGGCGGCGGCCGGCCCGCCATTTTATGCGCGTGACGTCATATTACAGTGACTGGCTCCTAATTGTATGGGTGGAATCTTGCAAGCTGAATTAAGACCCACTTCCAGGCAATTTCGCAAACACATGTGATTTGGATGACCATGCCATATTATGATGACATGGAGCTGATCTGATGATGGAGCTGGAAGGTGGCCATAGGAACTCTATAATAAAACGATTTAAATGCATCGAGTTTGGGCTAGTTCATTTTGTATTCATGAGTTTTATTAATCTAAGATTCATGAGTATTTTAATTCTATATAGTAATCAGGGTCTAATGATAAAGCTGGAAGGTGGTTTGGTTCAATTTTAATTTCTGTGATGGGTCTGGGTGTTAATATGTATTATGTACAGGGTGGGCCATGAATTAGTTAACATTTGAAAAAATCGTATAAAAAAAACCATTTAACATATTTTAGAAATCGTTTATTTACGAGAAAGCTAATTAGTTGTAATTTTTTTTTTAAATTATTTCGTCTAAATGACCACCGTTCCGGTTTTTGCGCTCATCTAAGCGAGTCCAGTGGGTCTAGACAAAGTGCAAATTATAATCGCAAACCAGTCGAAAAGTGGTCGAAAAGCCCCTTTTTTGTATGGAGTTTTGACGGATTCGATTTTCGATTCGATCAAAAAGTGCGTTTTGTCTAGGGGGGCTGAAGTTTTCAAATACTCTTCTGCAAAGAGACCGCGAGATCGCCGACATCTCTTCGATGATTTTTTCTTTAAGTTGACGCAGTGTATTCGGTTTATCAATGTAGACACGACTCTTTAAATCCCAACTAATCTCAACTAATATTATAAATGCGAAAGTAACTCTGTCTGTCTGTCTGTCTGTCTGTCTGTCTGTCTGTTACGCTTTCCCGCTTAAACCTCGCAACCGATTTTGATGAAATTTGGCATAGAGATAGTTTGAGTCCCGGGAAAGAACATAGGATAGTTTTTATCCCGGTTTTTGAAACAGGGACGCGCGCGATAAAGTTTTTCTGTGTCAGACAAAATTCCACGCGGGCGAAGCCGCGGGCGGAAAGCTAGTAACCCCATAAAAAGAAGTCTGCTGTCACCACATCTGGATANTATTAAACGCGAAATAAGCGTCTCACAGTAATGAGCGAAAAGTTGTTTAAATAAAACTGTTTCACGCAGTAAGCGCGTTGCGGCCCCGTGAAGCGATCCATTGCGACTAAATTTCCCAAGTAGCGAGCTAGTACCCCTGCCCAGGGTTGCCAGATATCAGCCAACTCAATTCGCCTAATTTTTCCTACCGAGTAGCCTAAATCGCCTAATTTTTTTTTTCTTAAAGTAGCCTAATTCGCCTAACATTTTGAGCTAAGTATACAAAAATTGCTTATACAAATACATATCAAATCGACACATTTAATGACAAACAGCTGTTTATTTCTTTCTAACTTACCCATGGTGACATAAAAAAAGAGATAGATAATGTTTGGTCAGTACTCATTCTGGAAACATTTTCATGTGACGTCACTACCTGACTTGTGCCGAGTAAATACAAGATTTAAGAAAACAACATGGCAATCAGCTGACAACTACACACACACACACACACAAACCTGTCAGCTGATTGCCTACATTGCGGCCATGTTGTTTTCTTAAATCGTGTATTTATAATGCGTGTAAGTGTGTGCGTAATGTATGTACTGAGCACGTTTATTTTAAAGTTACGCCAAGTCCATGAGATACGAGTATTACCTATCATACTAATATTATTAAGCGAAAGTGTGTATGGATGTCTGGATGTTAACATGTTTGTTACTCTCTCACGCAAAAATTGCGAAACGGATTTTGATGAAACTTTACAGCATCATTATTTATAACTCGGAACATGTTCTGTGACAAACTAAATTTCACGCAGGTGAAGATGCGGGCAAAAGCTAGTATCTTATATCTATACTTGTACGCACAGTACGCAATAGCTCTATCTCACTCTTATGAAGAGTGAGCGAATGGAAAGAACGGTGGATGTCTCAGATTAAGTGTTAGGTGGATGTGCATTATTACGTTTCGTTACTTTTGTTACATGCAAAATTTCTTTTTCCAAGGTAATCCTGAAGTAGCCTAAATAGCCCGATCTTTATTTCTAGGTAGCCTAAATGGCTACCGGTAGCCGTTTGCATTTTTTGGTCGCCATTTGACCCCCGAAGGTAGCCTAAATGGCGATATTCGCCTAATCTGGCAGCACTGCCCCTGCCCGCGCCCGCGCCCCGCGCGGCAATAGTTTGCGCGGTAAGTTACATTTAAATGTTAACGAATTCTTGGCCCACCCTGTATAATAAGTTTGTATTTACAAAAAAAAATGTATTTAAGTATGTTTATATCCGTTTTCTAGTGAGCGGACACTGTGAATGTACGTCACGCGGGGTCACGTGACCGTCGGCGGGACTCAATATTTAAGCGAACTTTGAATGCCTATAAAATCATAACTACTGGGTATTTTTGAATGAAATAAAATCTAATGTATTTGTAAATGTAAAAGTTTAACTGTAACATAGGTTTCAAGAGATTTTGCATACCTAGTAACATTCTCAATTGTTAGAAGAATGGCGATTGCCATGGCAACCGCCAAAGACTTTAGCATGTTTTTGGCTAGAAGGCTAGGTCTATATCTGTGGCTAGGATAGGACACCTTAAAAAAAAGGACACCTTTTCTAAACTTCAAAAGTGACGATTCCATATTTTTTTACACTAAAGGGATCTATTTTACGTACTAGTGCTAGCTAGCGCTATTTTCCGCTAAACGCCCCCGAGGTCATTTGATGACTGACACAAGACCACAGACAAACTAGAGTCCGACTGAGTCAGCCCCCCTAGACAAAACGCACTTTTTGATCGAATCGAAAATCGAATCCGTCAAAACTCCATACAAAAAAGGGGCTTTTCGACCACTTTTCGACTGGTTTGCGATTATAATTTGCACTTTGTCTAGACCCACAGAATAACTTTCCTGTGGGCTAGCCATCGAACATCGAAAATTGAGTTAAGAATGAGCTAAAAGTAGAATCGAAAATAGAAATAGTAAGATTATTTTAAATATTACGTCTCTGCTTTTTGTATGTGAGCGGAATGAAATACGAGCAGTGCGCAGTGCCCCGATTGCGCTAAATATTTTCAGCTACAACGCGACTAGACGACGAACGAAACTCACAAATTCGTCGCGCGGTCGGTGTCGCTTAATGACAGCTAGTTCAAACGAAATCAAAACGCAACCGCTTCTTTGTGTAAAAGCTGTGGTAAAAGCTGAAAGAAAGCTACTTTTCCACTTTTTCTCAAACTTGAGTCAAATGCCTTCACATAGAGTTAATAACTCTATGTGCCTTCACGAACAACTTTTATAGGAAAGTGGTTAAATCCGTTGTTTCGTCTTTGTTTGCGCGTGAACTTTACCGCGATACCGAATGTACACCTCAGCTGGAATGAAAAACGGAGCGCAACTGGAGAAGAAGCGCCAATGAATTTAGCACAAATTAATTAATAAAGTAATCGATTTATCGATTGTGGTGTTGGGACATTAGTACATTACTATTGTTATGACATAACATATGATTTTGACAGGCAGTCCGTCTCCGGCACTTCCACTGCCATTCCATCCATCTATTTTTCTCGTATTGGTGTATTGGTGATAGGATCACGATAGGATTGCAGCCGTTCTGTTTGTAATTATATTTACATCTTAACGAAAACATGAGTGTTAAAAGACCAGTGTCTTGGTTTTTGACCGAATCGGGGCGCAAGTTTACTTTTGCTTTGGTTACCGGTACTGGCTTTGCGTTTACAGCAGCGAAGTTCACTCCTCATACGTTGCTTCTTGATAAATACAAAGAATTCGTTCACTATTATCAGTAAGTATGTTTTTTGTCCTTTCTAATTAATTAATCGTCATTTTCGTCATCACTTGCATACATTAATTTATACCTACTTGCTATTCAATTTGTGTAGGTACAATAATTTTTACGTATTTTAACAGGAATAGTCAGCCAGTAAATCTGTCCGAAGAACTTGAAGATCGTTGCAAGAGTTGTTTGGATATACTTAAGGTGCCTGAAGTACACAGAAAACTCATAACACCTTTTAGTGTTTTTGGTTATGACTTGTTTCATGCAGGTAAGTAAAAATTATATAAGTCACATCTGTCGTAATAAATAACTAGAATAGTATTAAATTATAATAGATACAACAATTCTACTATTTTATTACTTTTACTAGGTTATATTTGGACATAATATCCATGAAAAAGATCCAACACAATTTGAGTGAAGTTGTGGGTTGGATCCTTACCATGTTAATATGTACGTCCATTTGAATTTTGATAGGTGCTCATTATGCAAGTATTTTACTTTTTTATTTAATAGATATTAACATCAGGATTGATTGTGTTTTGAAATTGTATTTTCCAACTTTTTATCTGAAGTTTTTCCATTTAGGTAGTACAAATTCAAAATATGGAGTTGCTATCGGTATCCCAGTCAACTTTAGTTATAAATCATTTGAAGATATTGAAAAGGATAGCATTCAGGTTAGTACATCATACTTTTATGAATCATCTATACAAAATGGATAAAATATATTGTAGATTAACAGTTATAATATTATACTATATGTTTCAGGTCAATCTAAAAAATGTAGACTGGACTACAGAAGCTGGTAAAAAGTTAGCAGATGCACTGATATTGCCAGAAAAAGTACAGCAGTTTGCAATTTGTAGAGAGATTATGATGACTCAGAACAACAAGTTTTTATATGAATCTGCTTATCCATTTGCATGTTTATTTCTGGCATATAATGTTTCTCAATTCATAAATACGAAATTAAATTTATACATTGCTCCACTTTCTATGAGGTTGACTTTGTATTCAATAGTAGGATTATTTAGTATGGGCACTTATTTTCTTATGAAAGATATGACTGAAGTTCACTATGAAACTTCAGTTGATAAGAAATTGTGTGAGTTAGGACCTGAATTTGTAGAAAGTGGAGTAATATTCTATGAAAAAATGTTACAAAGAAATCAAGCATTAAGAGAATTGATGGGTAAAGATGGTGAAGCTAAATATAGCAAGTTAGGTAATGAGAATTTCGCTATAAGGCAACCTCGAATTGCTCTTTCTCATAGGAAACAGTATTTTGTAGAGAAGTTAAATGAAATTAAAAAAGGGAATGAAGAAATTAATGAATAATTTAATTTAGATTTTTTAATTTCAATCATTGTAAGTAAACTAGGCGACATTTAAATTTAAATGTACAGAACTTATTTTGTTAATACATTTTTTTTTTGTTTTATTAATGTTTTACTTATAATACGATAAGAACAATAATTATGAACCCCACAACCTCAAAGAACATAATATTTTGCAAAATTTTTTTGTTTGTATCATCAAGAATGTTTAAAGGACGAAGCACACCTATCAACTCGGAAACAGGGTTGCCAGATACCAGCTAACTCAATTCGCCTAATTTTTCCTACCGAGTAGCCTAAATCGCCTAAAATTTTTTTTTCTCAAAGTAGCCTAATTCGCCTAACATTTTAAGCTAAGTATACAAAAATTGCTTATACACATACATATCAAATCGACACATTAAAGACAAACAGCTGTTTATCTCTTTCTAACTTACCTATAGTGATGTAGGAAAAAAGAGAGAGATTTTTGGTCAGTACCTACTCATTCATGCGCAACATTTTCATGTGACGTCACTTACTACCTGACTATTACTTATTCTGTGCTTGTGCCGAGAGATACATGATTTAAGAAAACAACATGGCCGCAATAGGCAATCAGCTGACAACTACACATACACACACACACACACACATACACACATACACACAAACCTGTCAGCTGATTGCCTATATTGCGGCCATATCGTTTTCTTAAAATCGTGTATTTATGTTACCGGCAGTGTGTATAATCCGGCATTATATACCAGCGGTTCCCGAAAGGTGGTCCGCGGAACCCTGGGGTTCCGTGGAAAGGCCGCAAGGGTTCCGTAAAAAATATTATCCCACGTTTCGTGACCGACGTTGTTCGCGCGCACCGACTTGTTTACGCACAAGGGAGGGGCAGGGCGTGCGAACGGAGTAGTAGGTACAGGGGTTCCGCTAGGAAAAGTATAATCAATTAGGGTTCCTTGGCAAAAAAAAAAATAGGAAACCCTGTTCTATACAATCCCTAGCCAAAAACGTTCAGTTATTGTATGAAATATTATTAATTTTATGCCCTGACTAGGTATTCTATACAATACCAAACGCGCAGCCGTCAATGTGTGTAAAAGATGATAGCAGGGAAAGGAGAGACGAAGCGGGCGGCCTTGCCTTCACGCTGGGTAAGGTCACCAGTCTAACCTAACCTAGAATTTTGTAATCCAACTAGTTTTCAAAAATGACCCCCACCCCCTTTACTACTCTAGATAGAAAAAAGTTGGAAAAAGTCCATACTCCATACTAAATCCGTCAATTTTTTTTTTATAGCCATGTAAACTTAAATGTTCAGTCCATTTTTAACTTTTCAGAAAAGTTCAAAGCTGAATTTAAAAAAAACTTGATGATATTTGCCAGTAAATTTAGATTTGATGCAACCCTATATCAATGCACGTCAAAACAAAATATTTACTTTGAGGCTACGCTTAGTAGTTTTTTTTTAAATCGAAATTAAATGATGCGATTTGGGTATTTTGGTGAAATTACTAAAAAACTTAATATAAAAGTAGCCGCCTGACATGGAACGTGTTATGGAGGGTGAAAAAATAGGAAATGACCCATTCTATCCGCCAAATCATTTTGGCACACGATGCGCCAAACACCCTGTATATCAACTTTGTTATATATCAATTTTGTAGGAAAGCCATAGTATTATTTTATTGTATTATTCATGAATACTATTGCATATGTGTTACATAAACATGTTTTTAATGTTTTTAAAACTTAAAATCAGACAAATAAAGCAAAAACATAAAATATCTTTGAAATACGGCAAAATCAACTAAAAAAATAAAAATCTTATGTCAAAAAGTACAAATACAGTAATTATTGTGTATNAAACACCCTGTATATCCGATATATATCAACTTTGATATATATCAATTTTGTATGAAAGCCATAGTATTATTTTATTGTATTATTCATGAATACTATTGCATATGTGTTACATAAACATGTTTTTATAGTTTTTAAACTTAAAATCAGACAAATAAAGCAAAAACATAAAATATTCTGTTAAATACGGCACAATCAACTAAAAAAATAAAAATCTTATGTCAAAAAGTACAAATACAGTAACAAATTTTAAAAGTTGATATATATCATCAAAACCGGCTGGATATATATCGGATATATATCCGATATATATCTTGATATATATCCCTTGATATATATCCTCGAACCCTGGTAGTACGTATACATCGATGATATTTTGTATGTAAATAATTCAAAACAAAACTCTCTTTTTCTCGTAACTCCAGGGATAGATTTCAGTGCGCTTCGGTTTACACATTAGTATAGGCTTGAGGAACAAAATGTACTATGGGTTGATTCTGGGCAACACTTGGTCCAGACCCTGGCACTATCCTTATGAATACAATAAAATTCATCACTCAAACACTTTACACACGCTAACATTGCACATAAAAAACCTCATTCAAAAAACTAATTTTAATTTTGCAAGTAGGCTTTTAAAAGCACTTTTACACAGCATTGAATAGTTTATGGACACTTTTTTATTCAAGCTTGCAACATCCTAACTAAATTGGGTGCATATTAGCTGAGAACTGAACCTACTCAATTTAGTGGAACATTCATATTGTAAAAGCTCAAATACTTCAACTACTGGGTAACAGACACAAGCCTACAGTAAAATAATACACCCTTTTTTTTAAGACATGAGTTTTTATAGATAATGGAATTAAACCCACCTCTCCATTCACATCCTTGTCTTCTTCATTTGAATTAGTTGAGGATACACCACCAGAGTCTTCGTCCGGTTTATCCGGGGTCGTGTCCATCTCAACAGCACCGTTTTTGCTGGACGAAGCGCCCTCGCCTGCCTGTTCCGAGCTTGATCCTGCAGCAAACGACAACCCTGAACTCGAACTTGAGGCTCCTGCAATATGTTTTGCATAATAATATCCTAATCAGTTGTATTTAATAGGGGCTATGACGTACAGTTCTTTTGTGTATAGAATTCAACTATCACTATCAAGCTAAAATCATTTTATGTAACATTTAAACCTAGCTAACCACATTAGAAATGTGAACAATAGGCATTCTATTATGGTTCCATTTTTTACATAATGATTAATGTATAAAAACCCAAATAAATATTTAATACAGAGATTATGCTTTGAAGGTCAAGGTCTTGTCTTATTTTGCATTAAAATTGCAACTGTAAAGATTATATCACCTCAACAAATGAAAATAAATAATGGAATGATTATATTATGTATTAAACATTTTTGTTACCTAAAATATATTTTCAAAACCCTGCTGTTATGCAATGAAAAATATGAATGGAATTGAATGAAATGAATTTTTAAAGGAACCAAATGGGGAGACTTGTTCCATCCATTGAAACAGAATAATATTGGAGCCTGAAATCATCACATACCTGAGCCACCTGGTTCATCTGTATTCTTCTTGGCTCGCAAACAGGGAGACAAGGGTGTAGCTGTGTCGCCTAGTTTTGCGCGGTGCAGCGTGCTCAGCTTATTTTCATACTTGGCCAGAACCTCCTGTTACAATAATAGTGTTAAAGGAAGACTGCTCAGAAAAATAATGTCAATTTAATGAGTATACTGATTTATGTATATTTTAAAGGCTCACCTGTAAAGGCAGACTTGCTTCTTGGTATAAATTACTGACGTTTTCATCCTCGGACTCATCATTGTCGCTCGGACCTGGAGGATTTATTTCACCTATAAGAAACAAGATCACCTAAGGTGTTCAATTTGTTTTCAATTTATGAAGGTAATAGTGTTGTTAATTTTCAGTCATTTCATTTTCTTTCACATCACACACATTAAAAAAAAATAGATTGGTGCACATTTTTAATGAATAGAATAGGATTGTTCAATTAATTAAATTAATTACCAGTTGCTAAGAAGTCTAACTTAAAAATCATACTTCTAGAAAATATTCATTTGCCAAGTTAGTTAGCTCACAGATAACATGAGATTATCAAAGATTGACAATAATTTATGTTTTAATTAACCTAGGGTTACACATGGCTTGGCAAATACTTATTTTAAAGGACATTATAAGGTCAAACATTTAATTGTTGTTTTTTTGCAACAATTTAGATTGATAAATAATTTTAAGGTTAGGTTTGTTGTTGCTTGGGATGTTTATGACTTAGATAGCTTTTTGGGTTTAATATGTAGTTATTTGATAAAATCATAATAATTTATGTTCTTTACCTGCAAGTTCTTTTAAAATATCCATAACCTCTTTGGTAGCAATAGTGGCATCAAATCCCAGGAATGCATCTTCTAATGCTTTTACAAGTTCACCACTTTTGTAAGCTTCTGTATTCTTTATGTAGTCCGGTAGGTTTTGTGAGCAATATGTTGCTACTTCTGCCCCACCGTGACCATCATACACAGCAAAGAATGATGTGTTCACATCAAAATCTAATATCGTATTGTGTGCATCCTGCAAAGTTATCATGAATAGTTATGAAACTCTGTCGATTTAAACGTTACATTTTGCAGAAACTAAGCAAAAGAGTAACGAGTACATAAATACAAATATGATAATGCACATAGGTTACAGAATATACCACCAGTGAGGGAAATAGCGAAAGGCTAGACAGTAACAATAAAAGCTTTTAACGACGAAAACGATTGAATAATAACATATATTATGATAATATTGCATGGTTCGCGGCTTAAATATTGCTTTATTAGGCACAAATATACTAATAATTAGCAAAGAAACAATATCGGTACCTCTTGATTGACACGCCACCCCTGCATGGAGCTGGCGCCACACTCCAGTTTCGCGTTTGCTTCATCGCTTGACACTTTTTCAGTTACTGGTTCCGATAAATATGCACCCATTTTGGAATGTTATACAAATAATCATGAAATAAAGAATGAATGAGGCGCGAAAATTCTCCAAAATATCACGCAGGCGGTAAGTAGCAAGAGTCAGTCAACCNCCGTACCCTGCAGTCAACCGCCGGATATAATGTTGCCTGAATAAAAAATAAAACTACCCATTGATACACTAAACTTTAAAACACAAATCCCCATCTTTTAAGCTCAGTTTAATAAGGCATCTATAAATGATAATTTAATACACAGGATTAATAACAATACCAAAATAGTCTTTATTTTAGTTTAAACAGGATGTGAATTTTAAAGAAAGAAAGAAAGAAAGAAAGAAAAAAATATTTTAGTTCATATAATGTTTTGTTTAATCAGAAATCTTTAACAAAAACCGCTGGCTGGCGGTTCTTATTTAAGATTTCTGCCCTTGCTTGCGTCTTACGGTGCTATTACGTCTTTCTACTAAGTAACGTCAAATCATTAAAAAAACATAAATGTAGAATTTATCAAAGAAGCTATCGTTTCCCTTCTAGCTAGCTGTTACGTACACCATAAAGATAAATATTTTCAAAATAATGGATTTGAAAACATTCTACATTGTACTTAAACATTCTACATCATAAAAACAATAATTCTTTGAAGGTTATGAGGGCCTATGTGTGCGTGAACTGTGTGTATGTGTGCGTGGACTTTATGTATGTATGTGTGCGTGTACTATGTATGTATGTGAGCGTTACGTACGTAGGTTAAGTACAGGGAATTTAACACCAGGCTGTCAATTAGTAGGCTCAAAAATTTGACAGAGAGGGTTCTCTATTTCCTATGTATTACTTTTCTCTATGCACTGGACAGTAAAACAATCAATGATATCCGTAAAGTTAGTAATCTTCTGTTGCTTGCTGTTGCTTGCTGCGTGATTGGTGGATTTTGACATATCTGTCAATGTCATGTCAAAAATAACCAATCCGTAGGAGAACCAAAGTAACCGACATAGCTCGCAGAATTGCTAAAATCAAGTGGCAGTGGGCGGGGCACATAGCTCGTAGAGACGATGGCCGTTGGGGCAGGAAAGTTCTCGAGTGGCGACCACGGGCTGGAAGACGTAGCGTGGGCAGGCCTCCTACTAGGTGGACCGACGATCTGGTAAAGGTCGCGGGAAGAGCCTGGATGCGGGCAGCGCAGGACCGTTCATTGTGGAAAACCTTGGGGGAGGCCTTTGTCCAGCAGTGGACGTCATTTGGCTGAAACAACAACAACAACAATTTGTTTCAAAGATTGATTTCAAACTTGTATAAACGTGAAAATAAAGTTGGTTTCATGGGCTTGTTAAATATTGTGTATGATATTATGAACAGTGTGTCCACACAAGTGATTATGGTGTAATTGTGTATGAAAGTGTTTGTTTACATCTCTGCTGGATTCTAAAAAATCAAGGTATAGAAATGATTGAATATTGATTACCCTTCAAGTAAGCACATTTGATGTGTAATGGCAACACTTATGCATTTAAAAAAAAAATAGACAATCACTTTTTACTTTTTAACTTGTCTTTGGATTTTGTTTGATTTTTTAAAATTATGGCTTGGGCCACAGGCTTGGGCAGAAAGATAAAATTCATTTTGAAATAAAATAACAATGGCATTAATTTCATAGACAAAAATTACGATCGCGCGATTGTGCGAGTGAATAAACGATATATGTAAAAAGGAGATAAAATACATCTCATTCAATCGAACGTGGGTGTGCTAGAAAAAGATCAAGCTAAAAAAGAGTGAGATAGACAACTATTTAACAAAAAAAAAATTTATTTCATTGATTGAGTTGAGATTTGTGTTTTTGAAAGAAATCGTCAAAAAGTATTAAATTACGAAATTGTTCGATGAAAATAAAGAGGAAGGAAATATAACGATTAATATCGTGTATTGTAGTTCCTATCCGAGGGGCTTCTCTTCTCTCAAAATAGTAGGGGTGTATTGTAGTTCGTGCAGTGACCCGTACAGATTTTCGTCGTATAAAATGTCGGGCGATCACAAAACTCTGATAAAAGGCAGTCCATCGCAATACGTGAAGTTAAATGTGGGCGGTACTCTCTTTTACACTACGCTTGGTACACTGACCAAGAGTGACAATATGCTGAGGACGATGTTCAGTGGGAGGATGGAGGTGCTCACAGATTCTGAAGGTATTTTTTATGACTAGAACTACAGCCGATATTTTATCACTTTCATATTCTATAGCAAGTAGGTAATGTGAATGACATGATGCACTTCCCAGTTGCTACCTAATTTCTTTTATTCATTGTAAAATGTTCTAACAATCTGTGTCTAAATTTCAGGCTGGATACTTATTGACCGGTGTGGCAAGCATTTTGGGACTATACTAAATTATCTCCGTGATGGCACAGTTGCACTGCCAGACAGTTATCGTGAAGTTATGGAGTTATTAGCTGAAGCGAAATACTTTCTGATTGAGGAGTTGACGGAATCATGCCAGCAAGCTTTGGCAAAGAAGGAGAGAGAAGCAGAGCCTATTTGCAGAGTGCCCCTTATTACATCACATAAAGAGGAGCAGTTGCTTATTATGTCAACATCCAAGGTATGCATTTTAGCTTTTAACTGATATCTTTCGAACTAGTAACTTACACTCCTTACTTTATTCTTCACATGCTTTGAAAGACAGTTATAATTAAGGACTGAACATGTTTTAAAATATTGATGATGATCCATCCGACCAATTTCGCATTGAGGGCATCGGAGCACGCCGCCAACATAGTTATAGTGAATGGCGGCAGATGGACGGGCCTTCAAGTCATTGCTTTAAAATATTAGCAGAGTTCCCAACATTATTCTTTATGCTATTTTTTTAATAGTATTTCATACTCTCCCAATAATAAGAGCTCGCATTAGCCTTAATGTCAATTAACCACAATCTATCTTTCACTAATCAGAAATTTTTAAATTTTCAGCCTGTGGTGAAGCTGCTTATCAACAGACACAACAACAAATATTCATACACAAGCACTTCTGATGACAACCTTCTAAAGAATATTGAATTGTTTGACAAATTGTCACTACGCTTCAGTGGCAGAGTTCTTTTCATAAAAGATGTTATTGGATCCAATGAAATATGTTGCTGGTCCTTCTTTGGACATGGAAAGAAGTGTGCTGAGGTTTGCTGCACGTCCATTGTGTATGCCACTGACAAGAAACACACTAAGGTAGAGTTTCCAGAAGCTAGAATTTATGAAGAAACATTAGGAATATTATTGTATGAGAGCAGAAATGGACCTGATCAGGATTTGATTCAAGCTACGTCGTCTCGCGGTGCTGTTGGAGGGCTGTCCTGCACCAGCGATGAGGAGGAGGAGCGCTCGGGCTTGGCGCGTCTCAGATCGAATAAGCAGAATAACCAGTCTTAGCGGTTACAGTCTGGCTTGGCGCGCCTTAGGAGCTCTAAACGCACTAATGTCTGATACCAAGCTGGAATCTCTCTGCCATGTTGTTGGCTGCCATGCTTTGGTCTGTAGATTTTATGAGCTGTGCCCATGCCTTGTTCTCTATGGGTCTCTATTTCTACGAGCTCTCTTGGGGATGTGAATGGTTACGATGGAATGGAAATAGCATTTACGATTCAAAAGCAGGTGGAAAAAACTGATTGGACATCTTTAAGTGTTTACATATCCATGTTGTGTTAGTTGGTGTAAGTGCGTCACAAAATAGTAAATAGAAAAAGTATATCAATGACAGTCCAGTGTTAGAAGAATAGCTGGTAGTGACATTGAGATTGATTATGCTGGAATTTCTGTATACGATGCATTCATAATACCAAACAAAATCAAGTGTAGTGTAATTTAGTAAGGATATAAGAAATTAACATGATGAAGAATTCTATTTTTTCCCCAACTTATTACTTGTGTCTTGTAAACTAGATTAAAATGTAAAATAGAATGTTATTATTGTAGCTACTAAGAATTCGTAAACAATGTGTACAAGATTCACAGTACATTTACATGGTACTTTAAATTATTGTATGCATATAATCACATTACATAGCTCAAGTAATTTGCCAAATCAGTGTTGTTTAGATGTTAGGACAACATTCCTGAAATAATGGTTAAGAAGCTCATTAAGGAAGCAAGTATTGTATTCATGTCGAACAAGTAAAATAATAGTCTATTTGCTAGATGAGTGAGTACTTATCACTATGTCCAATGTAGTGCAGATAGCTGCACATTCCTACATAGCCGCATTAGTACAATATGAATATTTATGGTCCTTAGGCATATAGGAAATTTTTTACAAAAATAATTTTAATTCAGTCCTACTGTTTTTACACTTTGTTGTTGAGATGCCATTTTGTTTAAGTAGTCAGATTGTTGAGCAAAGTCTAGTCTGATATGTATTTTTTTAATTTATCCTATTAAATTATGTTGAATTTGTGCAGTGGCTGATGAACGATTGGGAGGCTATTTATTAATATTAATAATGCAATAATTACAAGTCATTAATTACTGCACAAATGTATATTTTTATGGGAGATGCTCTTATTTGTCCACATTTTGATAATGGTTAACTATTTCTTATTAGTTCCCATGCAAGACTGGTTTCTGTATAGAGAAACCACATTGTGTACCTTGTATTAATAATATAATAATAATTATAACTATGTAAAATTTAACTTGTTAATCTTACAAAATATATGCTCACTGTTTAGCTGTCTGTTGTAGTTTAATTTAAAAATATTTTCCTGTTTCAATTTATCAAAGAATCACATCCTATACATATTTTGTTTTAGGTCAGTCATTTATTACATAAAAAATAACATTATCTATCTTAGATAGCAATTTACTACAAGATGAAACATTTACTTACTTATGTTGTCCAGAATAATTTTAGATCTGGGTTGAAAACAAGTAAAATATCACAAAAATTACCCAATAGGTACTTTATTTTTCTTATTTTACTTCTACAGTTATACTAAGGTCATTAAATTTGTTTTGTAACACTCTAGACTACATAAAGGAATTCCACTTTTGGAACAGTTGTATTTTTTGACATTCGGACATCCTTCAATACCACACTTTATTGGCGCCGGCGCTTCAATGGGT